AAAATAGTGATGTTTGTCCTGTTTCTTTGAAGAATGCCATTGAGTGTTACATGAGTTTGGAAGAATAAATATATACATTTGAAGATGTATTCTGTTCATGCAAATTCATTCTTTCCTTTCAATCAGTATCCATGATTCATGGATCTCTTGTATCAGAATCACCTAGAGTGTTGTTTGAAATGTGTATTCTGTATATCTCACAAACCCCACTTACTGAATCAGAATCTCTTGGTTTGGATTCTTGAGAATAATATTCTTCATAGGGTTGATCTGAATACTTTCCTGATAGAAAGCACTGAAGACAAAACTGCCTGTAAAGCATTTTTGCGCCAAATGATCAATTTGAATATAAGTATTATAGGAAAAAAATCAGGGAAAGTCAATTAGCTGGTTACTGATGAAGTTAAACTTGATCATTTGGCCAAAATGGTCTCCACCAGATTTCTCCATTGTAAAATTATATTTTCCCATCTGTAATCTATAGGATAACTTGAAATTTTATGACTATTTTTTTCCCCAGCAATCTTTTATCCAAGGGTTTTTAGTGTTAACTGCCAGTCTCTGCCTGGATTTATTACATTAGTAGTTAGTTGTAAAATAGAGATTTTTCTAATTCTAGCATTTCTTCTACATTCATTATCTATTATATATAAAAAAGCTATGTTTCTGCCACTCCCACCATTATTATCACTATTGGCTCTTATTTTCTTTTTTTATTTTATATGTGTTGTATTCTGAATGTTTGTGTTCTCCCCCCATGTCCAATTTATTTTTATTTATTTATTTATTTGTGCATACAAGAGCTGGGTGTAGACCGGCGGTGTGGATTCACCAGAACAGGCAGATCTCCTGAAATACATGACTAAAGGAAGCAGCAGGGAAGAGAGGAGACGTCTGTTGTGCCATGTGGGTCAGCTCCCTGTCTGGGGATTGAACTCTTGCTGCAGTGGCTGTGGACAGCTTCCTAGTGCTGCACTTTAACTCCTGCACCATCAGGGAGACCCTGAATGGATTTTGAAAGAATTAGCACAATTCTCTGTCTTTTACTATGTGATATGGGGGTAGCAGAGTAGGGGACTTTTGGAAAATATTTCCGCTCTTCTAAAGCTAGTAGAAAAGCACATTATTAAACAATCCATTTGTTTTTTACTATTTAGATAATTTCATTTGTATAAAATGTTTCTTTTGTAATTCTATGTATTTATACAAATAAAGACTTGATTCTGAGAAGGGGACTGCAGGTTTCCCCAGATTGCCAGAGCAGTCTGTGGCACAAAAAATAGGCCCCTACCCAGTCAGAAGCAGGAAGATATTCCAGAAGCTGTTAATTCAGGCAGGCAATAATGAGACTGTGACTCAGGCTTTGCCCACAGGGGACAGATTCCCAAGATTTTTTTTTTAAAAGATTTATTTATTTGTGCATACAGAACTAGGGGTACAGGCCAGAGGCTGCGAGAGGCTTCACCAGAGACAGAGTAGGGAGCAGAACAGGCAGATCGACGAAGTACACTGCTGAGGGGAGCAGCGGGCGGGTCAGGAGAGGTCTGCCATGCCATGTGGTCACCTCCGGGGCAGGCGGGAATTGAACTCATGTGGAAGTGGCTTTAGCTTCTCAGTGAGGTGCTTTAACCCGCTGCGCCACCAGGGAGGGCCGAGATCTTTTTTTTTTTTAAAGATTTATTTATTTATTCATACAGAACTGGGGTACAGGCCAGAGGTGCAGGGGTGGTGAGAGGATTCACCAGAGACAGAGTGGGGAGCAGAACAGGCAGATCGACGAAGTACACTGCTGAGGGGAGCAGCGGGCGGGTCAGGAGAGGTCTGCCAGGCCATGTGGTCACCTCCGGGGCAGGCGGCAGGTGGGAATCGAACTCATACAGAAGTGGCTTCAGATTCTCAGTGCTGTGCTTTAACCCGCTGCGCCACCAGGGAGGGCCGAGGGCTGAGATCTTTTAACCTTCATTACAGAATCTTTTATCAACATAGCCAGATAACAGTATTACTACTTACTATTCATGCCCACTTCATTTTGGTAGAAGGAAATGCTTTGTAGAAAATATAATTTCTGGGGCCCTCCCTGGTGGCCCAGTGGGTTAAAGCACCGCACTGAGAAGCTAAAGCCACTTCCACATGAGTTCAATTCCCGCCTGCCCCGGAGGTGACCACATGGCGTGGCAGACCCCTCCTGACCCCCCCGCTGCTCCCCTCAGCAGTGTACTTCGTCGATCTGCCTGTTCTGCTCCCCACTCCTCTCACCTTTACTGTACTCCAGTTTTGTATTCATAAATAAGTAAATCTTTAAAAAAAATGTATAACTTAGGAATGTTTTATTTTAAACTTTAACATAAAAAAGGGAAAATGCCTGAGCCATCTAGGATGTGACCCTGCTGTTCAGTTGGCATAGTGGATATTGGTTAGACATTTTCCCACAATTAATAGCTTTTCCCCAAGGTGGGGGGAAAAAAACAATAAGCCCTTCAGCCTGTGTGAAGTAAAGCCTCTTAAAGAAGAGGAACTACCTCAGACTTTCACTGAGGGAAGATTTGCCCCGAGGGACAGGAAGAAGCAGAGTGGGAGCCCACGGCAGGTTGATGCCTCCTCTGTAACAGGCAGGGCTCCAATCACAGCCCTCTGCACCAGGCTGTGAGTAATCACCCGCCAACTCCTGGATCCACAGGCTTTCAAAGAGTTCTCTTTCATTGCTCTGTGCATGACACCCTGGCCCTGCAGTACAGCACAGAGTGGCCAGATTCATCACTTGGATTTCATTGATCCTGCAACTCAATGGTCTGTGGCTCTCTCCTACCTGAATCTCCTGAGGATTCAGGAGATTTGCACTGTCTTACAAATTTTCACTTGATTTCAAGTCTTGTTTCCTTATACTAGGATGTGAGTTCCCAGAGGCTGGGGTCATAGTGCTCCTCAAAACAGGTGTTATTCTTTGTTAAATAAAGGAATCATTCAGTAACTCAGCATTTACTTAAGGAGGGTCAAACTCTCCATTCTTGGTTTGTAACTCCAGTAAATGTTTACCTTGGTCATAGCCCAGTGGAAAAAAAGCTAATTCTTCCTTTCAAAACTGCAGCTCAGGGCAGTTCTGGGATTAGCTGTGGAACTAGATAAGGTATCTAATATCATCCTCTTACATTTTTTAAGAATCAATTATTGTAATCAAGTGGAAAAAAATAACTCATCTTTAAAAATGTATGAACCTGGCCCTCTCTGGTGGTGCAGCAGGTTAAAGCACAGCGCTAAGGAGCTAAAGCCACTTCAACATGAGTTCGATCCCCGCCTATCCCGGGAGCTGACCCACATGGCGCAGCAGACCTCTCCTGACCCACTTGCTGCTCCCTTCAGCAGTGTATTTGGTCAATTTGCCTGTTCTGCTCCTCACTCTGTCTCTAGTGAATCCTCTCACCCCCCTGCACCTCTGGCCTGTACCCCAGCGCTGTATGCAAATAAATAACTCTTGAAAAAAAGTGTATGAACATAACATAGGAAAATGATCTCCCCCAATCTCTGATCTCTGTGGTGAACAGGGAGAGCCTGAGACAGAGGTATTGTTCAAGGACACCTGGGCACCAGCTCTGAGTCCTCGAGGCTGCACACTTGCTACTGACCAGCACTGTTCACTCTTTGCAGGCAGGTATTCTAACCGAGGACACTTTTGGATAGTGCCTGAAGCAGAAATCTAGTGTAAGTTACATAGCAAAGGGTTAATGACAGAAGCCTGAATATAAAAGGGCACTAGTGAGAGAGACTGGCTTTATTATTATCTCTGGAACTTTCAGAGACCCAGGGAAGAGTGTCAGCAGCAGTTGTACATCCCACAAAGAGTCAGGAGACATGCAGGAAGCCAACTAAGATATGCTACATCTGATAATGCGTTGTGAAGCCACCTGGCTTCTGTTAAGTTCTGCTTCCATGGCTAAGTAGACCAGGACACTCTATCAGAGTGCCTGTTTATGGGCTCTTCCTGGTGCTCTATAACATGCCTATACTACTGCACTTTAAAAAAGAACTGTTTTTTTTTAAAAAAAACTATTTAAAAATAATTTTGGATTTATGGAAAGGTTAAAGAGTAGTACCCAGACCTAAATCCTCTCTGGTGAATCCTCTCACCCCCACAACTTCGGCCTACCCCCCAGTTCTTGTATGCATAAACAAACTAAATGTTAATATAAAAATATGCACTTCCATAGTGACTTCTTTAAATATTTAATTATTTAAAGAGGTGCATGGGTGGTGAGAGGATTCACCAGAGACAGAGTGGGGAGCAGAACAGGCAGATCAACAAAGTACGCTGCTGAGGGGAGCAGTGGGCAGGTCAGGAGAGGTCTGCCACGCTGTGTGGGTCACCCCGACATGGTCCGGGATGAGAACTTGGGCTGGAGTAGGCTGCAGATTGTCTCGCAGTGCTATGCTTTAACTTGTTGCACCACCAGGAAGGGCCCTATGATGACTCCTTATATTGAGTTTCTTCCTGGTCTGCACTTGAACTCTTCTTTGGTAAAGTGTTCAAATACTTTCCCAATTTTTAAAACATGGGATTATTATTTTTGTGTTTTGAGAACCCCTTATATATTCTGGATACAAGTCCATTGTCAGATATGTGAAGTGCAGATATTTTTCTTCCAAACTGTAGATTTTTTTTTCCATCTTCTTAATTGTGAGAGAATATGTACTATTGTTAGAGAACTGATAGGAGGCCAGTGTAACGGGAACACAGAACATGAAGTGAATGCAATGAGAGGTAGCTGGGAACTTGCAGACCATGTTAAGGGGTATATGGTGCAGCAGACCTCTGCTATCTCACCCGCTGCTCCCCTCAGCAGTGTATTTCAGTAGATCTGCCTGTTCTGTTCCCCACTCTGTCTCTGGTGAATACTCTCACCCCCCCATACCTCTGACCAGTACCCCAGTTTTTATATGCATAAAAAAATTAATGTAGATTGCCAAGATTAAAAAATCAGGTAGTATATTTTCTCTTCCCACTCTAGCATTCTCCTGGTGTGCAGCCAGCAGATGTGGAGGAAGTTGTCAAGCAGGGCGTGCAGACCCTTGTGATTGGCCGAGGGATGAGTGAGGCCTTGAAGGTATGAATGGTACTGGGGGAGCGTGGCGTTTCTGAGACAAATGGTGGTCTGCTGGACCTTTACCTCAGAGATGTGTTCTTTTTGGAAGTTTATCTCTGTCGTCACACACCCCCATTCTGCACGCCAGCTTCTTCAGCAGGGTTGGCCTCTCCAGTCTCCACCTAACCCCGGGCCTGTGTTGTTTCCACTATTTCTCAGAAATTTCTCAATCCTCAAATTTCTCAATTTCTATTATTATCAATATTTGGTTCTTTAGATTTTTGTGGTGCTTTACATTTTTATAGTACAATTTATTGTATGTTTTCTTTTTCTTTTCTTGGACACATTCAACTTGTTTTTCTGTTCAGAAAAAACAGAAAAAACATGTATTATTGAAGTAATACATGTTTAAGAGTCATTGCAGAAAGTAGAAGTAAAAGGTGAACCATTTCCCCTTCCTAATCTCTTGTTGATGTTTACTGTGCTAATTCTCTCTCTGTATCTGCAAATATATATATTGACACATAAAGATATACATATACATATTTATGACTATTTTTACATAAATAGAATTATACTATACAATTTATTCTGTAGTTTTCACTCACGTTATTATGGACAACCTTAACACATCCTCTCCCTTCTATAGATGTGGTAAAACCCAACTCCCTGCTAATGAAAGTACCTCATCCTCTCCCTTCTATAGATGTGGTAAAACCCAACTCCCTGCTAATGAAAGTACCCTTTATTATATTTCTTCTAGTTTTTTTTTAATATCTCTTTATATTGATATTTTGAATTTATATTATAGAATATTCTATACTAAATTTATTTTATATTTCTATTTCTAGTTTTTTTCTCATTAAAATAATTTTCCCTCCCCCATTCCCATCCATTGCTCATTAAAATAATTTCTATATGGAAGGCTATTGTTATAAAATCATTCAAACATACAGAACATATAGGGCATTAAAAAAATTTCACTCAGAGCTCGTACTGATGAGATAGAGTCTAAAATATATTTAAGAAAAACACTCAAGACAAGCCAGAGTTGAGAAAATATCCAATTATGACTGCCACTGCAGAGAATCTTTTAATAAACTTATTTGCAAAGACTTATTTAGCACCTTCCACAGGTCAGACACCATTCTAGGTACTGGGAAAAATGAGATAAGCAAGATAGACAAGACTCATGGCCCTCATGAATAAAAAAAAGGAGATAATTTCAGATTACAATAAGTGCAATGAAGCAATGGTGATCTATGAGGGGCTGTTCTAAATGGGGGTGGTCAAGAAAGGCCTTTCTGAGAATACATTTGAGTTGCAATCTACATACATTAACTTCATCCTCACACCAACTCCATGCTGTAAAGTTTATTACCTTTAGTTTACAAGGAAGGAAAATAGCGTTGGGAGACATCAAACAATTGGCCTCAGAGTCTCTTGGTTGGTACTGGATAAGTTAGGATTTAGTGTCAGGTTGGACATTGAGATGCTAGGCATTCTATAAGCTTGAATTTGTTCTTGTACTAACCCTATGAGCTACTTATGATCACCCCTGTTTAGAGACATGGGGGAAAAGGCTCACAGGATTTAATTCACTCAACCAAGCTCACGTTGCTAATAAGGACCTAAATCCAAGTCTGACTCCAAACTCCATACTCTTTCCATTTCTATTTCTCTGGAGCTTAATACATGCATATCAACCTTCTATCAACCTTCTGTCAAACTTCTGTCAACCTCTTCTGTCAACAAATTCTGGGGAGGATATTTTTCTCATGGCAGGAAGAGAAACACCAGGATGCCCTTCCCCCTGACTTACTCATCTTTTGCCCTCTTTCTAGGTGTCTCCATCAACTGTGGAATACCTCAGGAAACAAGGCATTGATGTCCGGGTCCTCCAGACAGAGCAGGCAGTGAAGGAGTACAATGCCCTGGTTGCCCAAGGGGTCAGGGTGGGAGGAGTCTTCCATTCTACCTGCTGATGGAGCCTTAAGGAGAGAATAAATCACTAAGCAACAGTGCCTGTGACTATCACTTTTGCTACGCTTCAATTCCATGTCCCCAAGCATTTTGAACAGCTGCTTGTGCCAGCTTGTGCTCTGCTTTAGTATGCATGGATGACTCAGGCCAGATCCCTGTCCTAGGGGTTGGAGGGCAGTAGACCAGGGGTAGGGAAGGTGACCTGAGTAATCAGGAGGGAGGTCACTTGAATAATGTGATAAATACTGGATCAGAAGTGTGAGACAGAAATGAAGTCTTCTGCTTTGAAGGACAAAGAAAAGGTTTAGTGCATTAAAATCACATTGCAATTGATGATTTGAAATGTTTAGCTATCAATTCAACTACTGTGGAGTACCTTCCATGCCAGGCACCCCTATGAGTTGCAGGGAAACCGCAGTAAAAATCTTGCCACGAAGCTTATATTCTAGTGGGGAAAATAAACAAGTAAACAATTACAGAGTACAAATAGACTCTATTATGAAGAAAAATAAAGCAGGATAGGAAGTCAGAGTGATGGGGACTATTTCAGGTAGGTGGCCAGGGCAAGTTTCTTTGTACAGATGACATGTGAGCAGAACCCTGAATGAAGGAGCATTCACTAAGTAACAGGACAAGGAGATATGTGCTTACATGGGTCTGGACAGGCTGTTCCACTATCTGAACATGAGGCTCATCAGACAGTTCTGAGCCTCAGACTCCCTCATAGAATGATGGGGCTGGACTAGATACTAGATTCCCCTTTGTGGTCTCTCCTGGCTCAGATAGTCTTTGTTCTATTAAATGCCAGGCGACCTTTGCGAAGTCCTCAAATAGATCGATGGAGCTGTAATAAGTTATCAGTGTCACCTTATTTTTCACTCCTCATTTCTTTAAAGATTCATGAGTGTGACCTTCATGTCAAATAGCCTTAACTTTGAACTGTGGCTTTCTGCAAGTCACTGGTTGGGCAGTTATTTAACTTCTCAAAGTTTTACTGTTCTCATCTGTCAGATAAAGACAATATTAGTACCTGGAGTTACTGGAGATATTTAAAGAAGTACTTCAGAGAAAGTCTTAGCACACCGCTTGGCCTATACTAAGGACTCAATAAATTGAAGCCACTGTTGTCATTACCTATTCATGGGGTTGCTATATAAAGCCAACTAGTTTTATTTTATGGTTCTTAATATAGCATCTTATTATCTCACAGATTCATGGAATGTTCGAGCCCAAAGGAACTATCCACTCTTATTTCTCTCACTTTTTTTTCAGTAATTATCTTTTATGCCCTCTTGCTGAAATACTCATACTAATTGCCTTGTGACCTCTGATCACTGGACCCTTAGGCTATAGGGATGAGTAGTTCTTGCCCCTGGGTATTATATTGGAGAGATAGACAAATATACAGTGTGCTAGAGTGCAACTGTCACAGGTTCAGTGGTGGCACAAATTTATCTTACCAGGATGGAAGGGGAATTAGGGAAGAACATGACACTAGTTGAGTCTCAAAGAAGAAAGTACTCATTTATTCTCTAAGCATTTGGCAACTTAACTAGACATTTAATAACATGGTGCCTACCATAACTAAATATGATCAATCTACCTCAGTCCTCATTGAAGCCACAGCCCAGAAAGCTGATTTTTGTTTCATATGGCCCACTACCTCATTGGCCCAGTTGGGTACCTAACCCTAGGTGAGCCAATCCATAGATTGTACAGAAAGTTAAGATACAGGTTGGAAGGAAAAGATGAGCTACCGAACCATTTAGATTTTGCATAGTTCACCTAACCAGGATGTGGCAGAGTCAAGATTGGAACCTACCGCTGTCTTCATCTTTTCTACCATCCATAGCCTTAGGAAGTCCATGAGATGAGAATCTCATAGTTGTGACACCCTGTTGAGGAATTGGGGGAGGTCTTGCTCAGTGGGCTTTCCTCAGGCTGCCAATTATCAGATGACAAGATCTTTTTAGATCTGTTTGCTCAGCTCTTAAGATCCTATATATAAGTAGGAGGGATATTTGATAAAATTCAGACACTTTCTCTAGTGATGAAAAAACTTGTGTGTGTGTCAAATGTGCAGTGAAACAGTTCAGTGGGTGTTGGGCTAGGTGTGGGTGGAACCAGTGTTCCTAAGTGAGTTGTCCTCACATTAAAGAGAACTCAACACAAACTTATTAGAGACAGAAGTAATTGGTGGTGAGATTATGCTTTGTATAGAATCTGGTAAGAAACAGCTTCTACTTCTGAATCTGCTCTACATGGTCACTGCTGAAAATGTGCAGAGCTTGGAGAGAAGTTGTGTTTCCACGATACATACTTAGTCCCACATCTTAGTTATGAAGCCCTTTGATTTGATTTGTAGCTAGCACAACTTACTTTGTCCACAATTTCTTGTAGCTTAAGTGGTTTCTAAGACAAGGACTCTGCAAGAATGCTACATGGGTACCCATGTTTCCCATTCTTCTTCTTGCTTAAGTCAATCATGTCAGAGCCAAATATAAAGTCCTTTCAGAAACTTGACTCTCGGCTGGCTTTTATGGATGTGCCAAGGAACTTCTAGGTTTGCTTGGATTCATGTGCTTACAGCAGGAGCTGTGCTGGGGGTACTAAAAAGGCAGCATTCTTACTCTCCAGGCATAGAGATTAGTTGGCAGAAGACATGTAAACTCAGAATTATGATGCAGGTGTTCCAAACTGGCATGTTTGGAACATGCCAAACACTGAAGAGGTTTTGTTTCAGTAGTTTTTGTTTTCGCTAACTTTGTTAATTGTTGACATGTCTGTATAACTTCAAAAAAAAAATCTATTTATACAACAAGAGCTGCAGTGTAGGCCAGAGGTGTGGGAGTGAGAGGACTCACCAGAGACAGAGTGGGGAGAACAGGCAGACCTACTAACATACACTGCTGAGGGGAGCGGTGGGCGGGTCAGGAGAGGTCTGCCATGCCGTGTGGGTCACCTCCCTGGCCAGATATTAAGGACATGCTGCTGATAGCTTCACAGTACTGCCCTTGTGCCACCAGGGAGTCCCGACATGCCCATGTAACTTTCGGGTTACATTTGTTCTCCTCCATATGTACACATGGATCACTCACCCTCCACCAAACCTCTGTGCCAGTGAGTGCCCCCCTGCCTCCCACCCCCTCCAGCAAGTAGTATAGTTTCACTAAGTCTAAGTGGATATATACTTTGCCAGTATATATCCACTTTGTTACTGATATGCCACAGACAAGTGAGACCATCTTTCCCTTTGAATTATTTCACTTGGCAAATCACTTCAAGGTCCATCCCCGAAGGGCCCATTTCATCTTTTTTGTCTCAGTAACTTTTCTAAGTAACTTTAATTTACTTTAGTTAACCAAGACTTTAAAATTGGGTATTTTTTTACATGCAAATGCAGATTTCTGGAAGAACTGGAAGATTTGATGCCAACAGACCCACATTTGTATACAACCTAGGGGAGCCGAGCAGAGCTGCTTTCTGACAGAAAATGTACTCATTTTCCAGTCTCCATTTTCATCCCTAGAACATATGAATCTTTTTGGCCTGCCTGCCTTCATTTAGGGGGTTGTATTTGTGAACCTGCAGCAAATACTATGCTTGAAGAATTCATAGGCGCCTATGAGAACATATGGCAATGCATCAAGCCCACAGGAAACAGAGGTTCCAGAATGAGGCTGTCTTGAAAGAAGTATAGGCAACAACCTGAAGAGGAGTTAAGTCCAAAGCTCTAGAAATGAGCAACAAGTGGAAAGGAGGGGAGCAAAAACAGGAAGTCTCTGCAGCTGGAGAAGCGCAGAATGTTTCCACAAGGAGTACGGGGCTGGAGATACCAGCAGGCACATGAGAGCCTTAAGGAATTTAGACTTTATCCAGGCACAAAAAGTGATACGCTTAAAGGCACTTAAGCGTTAGGGGAAGGGTGTAATCAAGATCTGTGTTTCAGGAAGCTCATTCTGACAATGGACTGAAGGAGGCAAGATTTGACAAGTGCTCATGAAAAGGTGAATGCCATACTTCAGGTGAGACAATGGCGGTGAGATAATGGTGGTCGGCATCAGGATACAGACCGAGCATGAGAAAAAGTGAATCAAAAAATATTTAAGGAAGCAGAATCTAAAAGACGTGAAGATTATTTCTATTTGATGGGGCAAGGAAAGAGTCCAATATGACAAGCTGGTAGCAATGTAGAGAGCACTTACAAAGAACAGGCCACTCTCACGAAAGCTATAGTGAAGGAAAAATCAGGAGACCTCGGCTCTAACTTGGTTTTGCCACTTACTCTCTCTGGGAGTTCAGGCACTTGTACTGTGCAGGTGCCACACTGGAGTGATCTTTATGGTCCCTACAGGTCTTTGTAATGCAAAGTCATTTTTTCACTTCAGTGAGAAAGTGTGAAACCAGATGTAGAAAAATAAAGATTCTCCTATTTCACAGAACCTGAGAACTCAGGGTAAAAGGAATTTAAAAGGTTGAGCCCAGCCCCTCATGTGATATTTGAAATCCTTGCAACAAACTTGTCAGGAGCTTGTTCAACCTCTGCTTGCACACAATTATGGAGAATTCTTATCTCCTAATAATAGTGCATTCAATTTTTACACAACTTTGAAAACCTCAACTTGATAATAAGCCAAAACATGCCCCTTAGTTGTACAATACTTTGGGTTTTAAAACCTAGGATTGCTCTTTTCTGGCTGGTACTATGAAGGGTACAGAAGAACAAAGTTCCTGCTGTGCCAGAAACCCTTAAAGAAGGAATTTCATGGATTTTTAGTGAAGTGTGTTAGAAAGAAGCTTGTCCAAAACATGTTTCAAAGGGCAAGAAGGAAGTTTAATTGTGAAAAAGCTTAGCACAACAAATATAGGCAGGTGTACAGGTAGGATGGCAAGAAAAGCCGGCTACTTTAACTACAAATCCAAGCTGGCATTTGTCATCAGGGTCAGAGTATCAATGGTGCAAGCCCAAAGATCTGAATGGTGTTACAGCTCCTTCACCTTCACCAGATCTTCAATGGCATCTTTGTTAAACTCAACAAGGCTGCAGTTAACATGCTGATGAGGACTGTGGAACCATACACTGTGTGGGTGTAACCCATATAAGACAGTAAAGGGACTGATTCACAGTGTGGTTGTGGCAAAATCAACAAGTGAATTCCCTAACAGAAAATACACTGACTGCAACATCTCCTGGGAGATGTGGCATCATCTGCATGGAGGATCTGATTTATGAGATCTTTATTCTTTCATCACAAAGCCAGAACTTGACCCTAAGTTTTATTTTTTGCTTGCTTGTTTGTTTTCAATTTGAAAGCAGTCACTGTTCAGTAACTGACAAAATAATCATGGTAGACATCTTAGTTCAGCCTTCTAATAGACCTGTTAATCTGGTCTTCCTTGTTGCATGTCCCCTTCCACAAAACAGGTATTCTTTTATTCTATTTTGTGGAAAAGAAAATATGTTGCCTCAAAACCTGTTTCTCGGGCCCTCCCTGGTGGCACAGTGGGTTGAAGCACAGCACTAAGAAGCTAAAGCCACTTCAGCAAGAGTTCGATCCCGCCTGCACTGGAGGTGACCCACATGGCGTGGCAGACCTCTCCTGACCCGCCCACTGCTCCCCTCAGCAGTGTGCTTCGTCAATCTGCCTGTTCTGTTCCCCACTCTGTCTCTGGTGAAGCCCCTCACCACCCCTGAGCCTCTAGCCTGTACCCCAGTTCTGTATGCATAAAAACAAACAAACAAACAAACAAACAACAAAAAAAAAACTCAGTTTCTCTACCTCAAGAGAGAATAATCTCAAAGGCTTTTTGTAAAAGGAGTTTTGTATTTGAAAAGGACTTTTCATTTTCTTTCCTTTGAAGGCTTTCAAGCTGTAGCATGAGGGGCTCAGTCTGCATCCACGGGTCTTACTGTTTCTATCTGCACGGCAACCTGTCAATCATCATTAGGTGATTGTGAAGGTCACGTTAGGATTTAGCCTGGCTTCAAGCTTCACTCTATCTTCAAGGCAGACACTTTCTCCAGGGCACCTTGTTAACAAGAGATGGCACATCCCTGAGTTATATAAAACAAGCACTAAAAAACCAAGCTCTCTGGAGATGACTTTCCTCCCTTTAGTCACCCTATGGCAGTTATGATCTGAAGTCAGACTGCCAGGGTTCAAATCCCAGCTCATACTAGTTGTGTAACTGAGGCCCAGTTAACTTAATTCTCAGACAACAGTACTGACTTCACAGTGGGGCTGTGAGGATTTAAATGAGTTAATTCACATAAAGAGCTTACAACACTGCTAGGCATACATTACGTACATTAACAACCAAACATGCTTGAAAGCAACTTCAGGCTCCACTTATGAGTAATGATATAATCTTGCTATTATCTGTACAAGTGAGGCTGTGAGCCTGAGCTCTGTAGATCAAGTAGGAACAGGACTAGGCATTATTTAAAAAAAATTCAAAATTCTTAAGGCGTAATTGTCTCTATTTTATAGGTGAGGACACTGAGGCACAGTGAAGATTTGAAGGTTCTTTTCAATACACATCACCTGATTCATCTTGGATTTGAATGAACAAAGTCTGTACTTCTCACTGCACAGTGTTCCTAACGGTGATTTAAATGTCAAGTCTCAGTACATTGATGTGAAGACTAAAAGTCAGGTAGAGTGTAACACAGGCAGTACACAGTGAACACCTCTGGAGTGTTTACTGCTCTTACTCATTCCAACACCAGTGTCATTAGACCTGTAGTGAAAAATATTTCTTAGATGGGATGCCTTTTCCCTCAATCCTTGCTTCTTTTCTTTTCTTTTTTTTTAAGTCCTTTTTTGTCTTTTTATAAGATTTACTTATTTTAGGCCCTCCCTGGTGGCATAAAGGTTAGGGCGCAGCACTGCAAGGGAGCTGCAGCCACTTCAGTGCGAGTTCAATTCCTACCCCGGAGGTGACTACATGCCGCGGCAGATGTCTCCTGACCCACCCGCTGCTCCCCTCAGCAGTGTACTTCATCAGCCGGCCTGTTCTGCTCCCCACTCTGTCTCTGATGAATCCTCTCACCGCCCTTGCACCTCTGGCCTTGTATCCCAGCTCTGTATGGATAAATAAATAAATCCTTTAAAAAAAAGATTTACTTATTTGTACATATACAAGAACTAGGGTACAGGCCAGAGGTGTGGCAGAGGTGAGAATATTCGCCAGAGAACGTAAGGAACAGCACAGACAGATCTACTGAAATACACTGCTGAGGGAGCAGTGGGTGGGACAGGAGAGGTCTGCTGCACCCTGTGGGTCAGCTCCCTGGCTGGGATCGAACTCATGCTATAGTATCTGCCCATAGCTTGATAGTGCTGTCTTTAACTCCTTCACCACCAGGGAGACCCAATCCTTGTTTCTTTTTCTTAAGTATGGCCTTTCTCTATTATTTTGGCTGTAAGGATAACGGAAGACAAGATAAAGAATTTCCCTCAGGAGTAGGAGTGAAAATTATTCATCCTTCAACTTCCATTCAGTCCTTGGCCCAGAACTAGGAAAGGAGCTTCTCAGCAAGATAATAGGTATCTAAGGCCACTCAGGATCTGTCAGAAAAGGTTTAGTTGCTAATGCTACCTTGGAATTGACTCTGGCAAAAGATATTACTTTAAGAAATAAGATTATGGCTCTAATAACCTTGGGGCTCCTTTGGCTGGAAAGCTGGATCTTTGTGTTTCACAGCTGAGGAATGTGAGCATGTGTTAAAATTTTTGAATGTATAGCCATATAAATTTCTTGAAGCACAAGGAAGTAGAACAGTTTGGTGTTTTCTCAACTTTATTGTGGGGATAAGAGATGGGAGACATCATGAATAGTATTGAAGGTTTTTGTTCTTTTAATGCAGAATAACTTATCCTGCGTTTGATACTAGATGAGACTGTGAGGGTGCTATTTCTCCTTAAGCCTATCCGCTATTTCCAGGTGAAGTGCTTCAGGCTCTGGCTCCAATACCTAGGAAGGGCCTGCTAGGCTGAACTACAAAGACATCCTGTGACTCAGCGCCGAGCGGGTTTGGGCATTATGTAAACCTTCACAGACTTGCTGAAAGGGATAGTGCCCTCAATGCTGGTTTCTAACTGGGGTGACACCTCACCGCCCTCGATCCAGAAGGATTTTGGAATTCGTGAATTGGAGTTGTAGGCCAGCAGCAGCCTCACTTCCACCTGGCATGGTTCTGGAAAAAAAAAAACACAAAAGAAATCCTCCATGACTGGGCAACTGCTTGGAATAAGCATGAAATGTCAAGCAAACAACATCAAGGGTAGAAGCAGGAGGATTTCAAGGATATTTATTTCTTCATCCCTCCACTCTCCCACACCAAACATACATTTCCCAGCCTAAATCCTGTGAGACTGATCCTGATGCTGCAGATGCTCTGCTTCTTCACAGCCCCCTCCTCTGGTCTCACACAGCTCAGAGCTATGGATGCCAAGATGACCAGAGGGAAATCTGAAAACCCAAGGCCTTCCCGACTTAAGACGGAGGGCCACATGCTGCACCATGGAGCAATTCTTCTGTGCAGACAACTGGGCTCTCCTTGCAGTTGACCTCAGTCCTCAGGGCTGCACTATCCAGTGCTAGTGGAGAAGTCTTGATTAGAGGGTCTTTAGGACCAAAAATTCTGATCAGTGAACAGGAATATCTCAGGGATCCTGAATCACGTTATTATACCTTGTATTCTTTCATGACATGATACTGAGATATTGATTTGGTGTCTATAGGAGACAGGCTCCAGTGAAAGTAGGCTGAGACCTCTTTCAAGTTGCTGACCAGTTGAGTGACAGAGAGAACTATGATAGAGAACAGTTACCTAGGTATGCAACAAGTAATGAGGGGGGAGCTCAGTAAGGTTTTGGAATACAACACCTAATCTGGGCCAAGCATGCAAGCTTATAAATTTTAGCCCTACCACACAAAGAAAGAATGGCTGTCACAACACCAAAAATGTCCCAACGTTCTGAGACATTCTGTAAGATAGCCCAAATCTACTCTAGTGACAGAATTTGAGCCCAGTTCACAAACTTAAGCAATTAAGCTTCATGGTGTGTGTTTTTAAAAGATTTATTTACTTATGCATACAGATCTGGCATATAGGCCAGAGGTAGAGAGGCAGTGAGAAGATTCACCAGAAACAGAGTGGGAGCAGAATGGACAGATCGACGAAGTACACTGCTGACGGGAGCAGTGGGCAAGACAGGAGAGGTCTGCTGCGCCATGTGGATCACTTCTGGGGCTGGGGATCGAACTCACACTGAAGCAGCTGCAGCTAGCTTGCAGTGCTGCGTCCTAACCCACTGCACTACCGGGGAGGACCTGTGTTTGTTTTTTTTAAGATTTAATTATTTATGTATATAAGAACTGAGGTGTAGGTCATAGGTGGGAGGGAGGGGTAAGAGGATTCACCAGAGACAGAAATGGGGAGCAGAACAGACAGATCTACTGAAATACACTGCTGAGGGGAGCAGTGGGTGAGACAGGAGAGGTCTGCTGTACCATGTGGGTCACCTCTTTGGCTGGGGATTGATCTTGTGCTACAGTGGCTACAGACTGCTTCATAGTGCTAGGACTTAAGCCCTTGCACCACCATAGGAGAAAATAACTTTTTGTATCCTAAATATGTGATTTGTCTTCCTGAACCTTAGTCCTTCCAACAGTGCTGTTTCACAGCATTTCTTTCCTTACATCCAGGAACTATTCATCAGAAGAGATTAGAATAACAAATTCTACCCTCCTAAGGGTTAAAAATTTGGGCAAACACAAAAGTAGATGACTGGATAAAAAAGATGTGGTACATATATACAATGGAATATTACTCAGCAACCAAAAAAGAGAAACACATGTCTTTTGCAGCAACTTGGATGGAGCTGGAAAAGATCATGTTTAGTGAGATAAGCCAGAAAGAGAAAGAAAAATACCAGATGGTTTCACTCATAGCAGGAGTATAATGGACCAGGCGAGAAAATAACAAAAATAATGAACAACCATATACATATACCAGAGACATTTTGAGGGGCAAGAGTGGGGAATGGGATCAAAAACGGGGGGGGAGGGGGAGTGCATGGGATTATGGTGATGGCACACAGGTGACTTGGTGATGGGAAACCTGCGGGGATTACAATTGAGATGGAAAAAAAAATGTACAAAATGATGTAAAAATAAACTGTTATAAAAAAATTGGGCAAACAGTGCAGAAACACTCTAGACAGAAAAAATATGGAATGAGGAATGCATAGGGAAGGAAACACTGGCTGAAAGCATTGACAGGTGCTTCCTCAACTGTGCCAGGCCCAGGGTCACTGCACTCTGAGTGTTGCTCTGACATTCAGCAGCACCACTTCCTAGTTGTGAAAAATGTAACTCTTCTATAACCATTTAACTGGGATGACAGAGGAAAGCTGTTAATAATGGCATTAAATAGTTATTCATATATTATAAAATACAGCTATTCATGTATATATAAAATTCATGTATTATAAGGGCCCTCCCTGATGGCACAATGGGTTAGGACACAGCACTGCAAGCTAGCTACTTCAGTGTGAGTTCAATACCTGGCCTCTCCCTGGCCCCGGAGCTGACCCACATGGCGCAGAAGACCTCTCCTGTCTCACCCACTGCTCTCCTCAGCAGTGTACTTTGTCAATCTGCCTGCTCTGCTCCCCACTCTGTTTCTGGTGAATCCTCTTACTGCCCCTGCACCTCTGGCCTGTACCCCAGTTCTGTAGGCATAAAGAAATCTTTAAAAAAAATTTGTGTATTATAAAATATAAAGGAAAATTCCAGAAAGCATTGATGTGTTTTTAAAATAAATCAAATATAGTGGGATTAAACATCTTTTCAATTTACGCCATGCTTCCAAATCTCCTCAGTAGTTTAGGAAACACCACTGAGGCCAATTCTGCCCCACACTTTAGATTCCACAGACTGAGTCTCATTTTTAAAGTTTGCAAAGTAGCCTTATGGGCTTGAAATGTAGTATCTTTTGCACTTGAATTCTTCCATTTTATTCTTAACAGTTAAGAAAAAACATCAAAAAGCTATGTAACCTCCCTGTCTTGACAAAGCACTGAGGTTCTACTCAGTTGCTGAATGGAGAGGGTAGAACGTGATTAGATCATCTCACTTTGCATTGCCCCACAAGCCAGTCAATGTGGGTGGGAGGGCAGTAAGTTGTCATTTTACTTATTCAGGGGAATGAACTGAAATGCTCATATACAAAGGAGTAATTTTAAATTTTTAGTAAGAAATATAGAACTTTAATTTCCAGACAGAGAAACCCACAGAACTCGTAGAGAACTATCATCATCATTTTGAAGATGAGGAAAGAGATTCAGAAGGGAGAGTGACTTGTCCAAGGTTACGCAGCATGTTAGGCAGAGTGAGGGCAGGAAAAGGTCTCTTGGCATGCACTCCAGGGCTCTTTCCCTGAGACTCTATTCTATTGTTACCTCATGTATATCTTCTGGAAAAACCGAGTGCCCAGTGCAATCATAATAATATATCAATTTAGTCTAAATGTACCCAATTTCAGCCTTTAAGTGCCTTAAGTAATGTATTTCATGGGTGATTTGGTGATGGGAAGCCCAAGGCGATTGCAACTAAGATGGAAAAATGCACAAAAATATGTAAAAATAAATTATTATAAAATTAAAAAAAAAAAAGAATTTCAATCCTCAGCAGTCCTGATTCAATCATGTATTTTTCGAACTGCAAAATCAGTTTTCTTTTTTCCAGTTTTCTCCTTTACCTGTCCAGGCGGTGTGGGACAGGTACACTTGAGTGATAAGTCGGTGTCGCCCTGGGCCAGGATTCCGGAAGTCTGTAGGTTTAGGGTGGATCATCTGGGCCTGTCCATCTGGATATAAGACCTAAGAAGTGATACAAATTAGAAAAAAGAGGCAGAAGAGGCACAAACTTTTTTTTTTTAACAGAATTGCTGGTAGCATCTTTTCTGAACCCCAAAACAGAAGGAAAAGAAAGAGGACACTAGCCCTCACAGAAGACTGCTCCCTGAGTGCAGGGCGGCACCACCCATTCCCTACCATCCAGCCGCAGCACAAAGCAGTATTTAATACTGTTTTCCTGAATTCATGGTGAGCAAGTGGTGGAATTAAAATGTCTCTATTAAATACACACATATATGGCTAATTAATTTATAACAAAGCAGCCAAGAATATATAGTAAGAAAAGGATAGTTTCTCCAAAAAACAGTGTTGGGAAAATAGAAAAGTCACATGCAAAAGAATAAAAGACTTGAACATAAGAACTGAAACTATAAAACTTCTTGAAGAAAACAGAGACAGTATACACCTTGCCACTAGTTTTGGCAATGATGTTTTGAATCTCACAATAAAAGTGAAATAAACAAATGGCACTGCATCAAACTTAAGAACTGCAAAGAAACCAATTGACAAATGAAAAGGCAAACTATGCAGAAAGAAAATATCTGCAAATCATGTATCTGATAAAGAGTTAATATCCCAAAAAACTCATACAACTCAAGGGGCCTCTCTGGTGGCACATAGGGTTAAAGTCTCAGTGCTAGCAAGCCAGTCACAACAGCTTGAGTTTGATTCCCAGTCAAGGAACTGACCCACATGGCACAGCAGACCTCTTCTGTCTATCCCGCTGCTCCCCTCAGCAGGGTACTTTGTTGATCTGTCTGTCCTATTTCCTACTCCGTCTCTGGTGAATCCTCTTACACCCCACAACTCTGGCCTATACCCCAATTCTTCTCTGCATAAATAAAATTAAATCTTGAAAAACAACCTCATGCAACTCAACAGCAAGAAAACAAACAATACAATTAAAATGAGCCATAGGTCATAATAGACATTTTTCTAAAAAAAGGTACACAGATGGCTAAGTTACATGAAAAGACATTCTATACCACTAATCATCAGGAAAATGCAAATAAAAACCACAATGAGAGATCACGTCACATCTGTTAGAATGGCTATCAAAAAAGACAAGAAAAAAAGTGTTGGACGGAATATGGAAAAAAGGGAGCTCTTGTGCAGTGAGAATATAAATTGGTGCCATTACTATGGTAAACAATATAGAGGTTTCTCAGAATATTAAAAATAGAACTAACATATCCAACAATACCACTTTTGGGATTTTACCCAAAGAAAAGGAAAATACTGATTTGAAAAATACAAGTTGGAAAGGATGTATGCACCCCCCATATTCACTGTAGCATTGGTTACAAAAGCCAAAACAGGGAAACAACCCAAGTCTGTCAATGGTTGAATGAATAAATACAATGTGGCATATTCACACAAAGGACTATTACTCAGCAACGAAAAAGAAGAAAATCTTGCCATTTGCAACATGGATGAACTTCAAGGGTGTTAAGTAAAATAAGAGAGAGAAATCATATGGATCAAGGCCTTTCACAAAGAGCAGTTTTGTTAAGGCTTTGAGAGCTTCTGCTACCTTTATCGTTTTCTTTTTCATGTTCATCACTGGCTGCCCCCCACTCCACTTTCTTTTAAAAAACTGAAACCCAAGTACTTAAGGGTCTTAAGATCTCAGGAAGTTGGATCACATTTATCTTTCTGTTGTGACCTCACCTATATGTGGAATCTTGAAGAAAAAAAGAAAAACCCAAAAGAAAAGAACCACCAAGAAACATGCCTATGAACCCTCACATTTTAAAAAAGGATTTATTTATTTATGCGTACAAGTGGGGTGTAGGCCAGAGGTGTGGGGGGGTGAGAAGACTCAGAGACTGAGTGGGGAGCAGAACAAGCAAATCAACTAAAATACACTGCTGAGGTGAGCAGTGGGCCAGACAAGAGAGGTCTGCACCTTGTGGGTCAGCTCCCAGGCTGGGAATAGTACTTGTGGCTGGTGATAGCTTAACAGCTGTCTCTAACCCCTATGCCACCAGGGAGGCCCCTGAATCCTCAATTTTATCCTTAATTCCTGATCCTGTTTCTTGTTGAGATAAATTTTAACAAAGTACAAAAGTAAGTAAAAATATTAATCCTGACATGAAAAGCCATGCCAGGCACACACATTAGGATGACTCTCCCTCTTGCCTCTGAATCATATATCATGGTCTAGCATCCATCACCAGCTACCAAGTACTAAAAGCAATTTTATATCTACATTTTCTCCACTAAATTATAAGATACTAGGAAGTTGTTTATCTGTCTCTTTTTACAGAAATAGTGCTCAGTGAAGGCTCTGCTCAAAACACTGGCCAATTCTTCAAATCTCACATTGCTGTAAATTCTTTCCTCACATCCCAGAGGGTGTCACAACTGTCTCCAGGAGGGGCCAGTATAATGCCCAGTGTACAAATGAACTAAACAAAAAACTAAAGTTCATTCTACAACCAGACATGGCCTGGGTTGTGGAACTACATTGACAAGACAAAGTAGGTGACAAACCACAGGCCTTTTGAATTTGAAATTCTGGCAAGTCTCAATGTGTTCCATAATTTCTTCATCTCTTCCTAGATCCTAGCTAGGGTTTCCACTGATTTTATCTATCCTTCCTTCCTTTCTTTCTTTCTTTTTCTTTTTTTTTTTTTTTTAAGATTTACTTATTTATGCATACAGAACTGGGGTGCAGGCTAGAGGTGCAGGGGGGAGAAAATCCACCAGAGACAGAGTGGGGAGCAGAACAGGCCAACTGATGAAGTATACTGGTGAGGGGAGCAGTGGGTGGGTCAGGAGAGGTCTGCCGCACCATGTGGGTCACCTCCAGGGCAGGGATTGAACTCATGCGGAAGTGGCTTTAGCTTCTTAGTGCTGTGCTTTAACAAGCTGTGCTACCAGGGAGGGCCCTACCCTTTCTTTCTTTCTTTTTTTTTTTTATAATATAACAGTTTATTTTTGCATCATTTTGTACATTTTTTTTTCATCTCAATTGTAATGCCTGTGCGTTTCCCATCATCAAGTCACCCATGTGCCATCACCATAGTCCAGTGCACTCCCCCCCTCATACCCCCGTTTTTGATCTCATTCCCACTCCACCCCCACAAAATGTCTCTGGTATATGGCTGTTCATTCTTATTATTTTCTCGCCTGGTCCATTATACTGCTATGAGTGAAACCGTCTGGTATTTTTCTTTCTCTTTCTGGCTTATCTCATGATCTTTTCCAGCTCCATCCATGTTGCTGCAAAAGACATGTGTTTCTTTTTTTTGGTTGCTGAGTAATATTCCATTGTGTACATGTACCACATCTTTTTAACCCAGTCATCTACTTTTCGGCATTTGGGCTGCTTCCATGTTTTTCCAATTGTAAATAAAGCAGCAATAAACATGGGGGTACAGGTATCTTCTTCAACCAGTGTTTTTGTATCTTTTGGGTAGATACCTAGGAGTGGGATTGCTGAGTCGTAGCCTACTCTTTCTTTTTTAAAACGTCTACATTCTGCTCTATCTCCAGACTCCAGGCTGCAATCACAGCAGAAAGATGGTGTTCCAGCCTCCTGATCTTTTAAGATACTTAAGTACTTGGGTTTCAGTTTTTTAAAAGGGGATGAGGAAAGTCAGTAACAAACATGGAAAAGAAAATGACAAAGGTAGCAGAGGCTCCCCTAAGTCTTGTAAAAACTGCTCTTTGTGAAAGGCCTTGATCCATCTTGATTCATTTGAAGCCTTCTTTCATTCCTCTAAAACTCCCAACAGTACATCATAGAAACCTGTAGCCAAGTAAGTCAAAGGAAGAAAACAGCCAATGCAAATTCTATTTAGAATTTCAGAATAACTAAAAAACTGTCATCTTGAGGATGTGGGAAAAAAGGAACCCTTTTACGCTGCTGGTGAGAATGTAAAACTGGTTCAGCTACTATGGAAGGGTGTGTGGAGGTTCCTCAAAACACTAAAACATATGAATATGCAATTCTACTCCCCAAAGGGCACAAAAACACTAATTTGAAAGAAACCCACATTCCTGTGTTTACTGCAGCACTATTTAAAATAGCCAAGATAAATGCCCCAAAAGAAAATGACTAGATCAAGAAGATGCAAGTATATATACACAATGGAATACCACTCAGCAATCAAAAGGTTAAAACTCATGCAAAGGGAAAATCAAATATTGTACAAAAAGAACAATGATGTAAGAAAATAAATAATTTTAATTATTATAATAAAAATTAACTAATGCTATCTTTTATTAACAGGTATAATACAGAAAACTAAGTTGGGCAAAAAGAAAAAAAAGTATGGATGAATGGAGTTCCTATAGGGTCTATTTTTAAAGAACTTATAAAACATTATTTTAACAAAGAATGTAATCTCAAGGTCATCTCAGTCACATTCACTGCTACATTCCTGATACCTAGAACACTGTCAAAAAACAGAAGGAAGTTTTCAGGGCAAGCTGTCCGAGGTGGACAGAGCTTCCCAACCAAAACAGTCCCACACTGAGTGGTGAGCTTCCTATCTCCTCACTGTACATGTGTTACAGGGTAACCCAATGGGGTTCAGGGGTGCCCCTTTCCCTGTCCTGTAACACAGGCTTCCAAATAGTATAGCTTGTGTGCAGTGGATTCCTGTAGAGGGATTTCTGGGCAGAGCCTGTTACAAGGGAACCCCGATATGAAATGTGTTGGCCTGACGGTGGGTCCTCACCCACACACTTAAAAGGGACTTACAATGAGACTCAACTGCAGGCGCACACAATCAGGTTAGTAAAGGGTTTATTCACAAATAGGGGGAGAAGAAAAGAATGACCCAGGGAGAAAGAGAGAGAGATACATTAGTGAATGCATCCAAAAGTTCTATTGTGCTGAGACCCAGTAGTATATTAAGAGCTGGAAAAAATCCAAGGACCCACCCAAGGTCAGTCTGTCTGCTTATATACAAAACCTGGCTGCTTAACTTCACCCCCAGTTCCCAGCAATCCTCCCTTCGGAGGTGATGACATTTTGGGATTTATATTCCTTGGTGTCTTGGATCTCTTTGGTCTGGGGTGGGGGTGGGGACCACAAAACCTATTTGTGGAGTTCGTTCAGGACATCCTTTCCCCCCAGCAAGTCTAGCAGATGACCCAAAAATAATCTGCCTGCAATTCCATTTGTGCTGGGTTGGTCTGTGAACTTGTTTTCAAGGACAATGTAAACCAGTGGTTTTTTATTCTGGCTGCACATTAGAGTCATCTGTGAGCTCTTAAAAAAAAAGTGCTGGTGGGCCCTCCCTGGTGGTGCAGTGGGTTGGAGCGCAGCACTGCAAGCGAGCTGGAGACTCCTTCAATGCGAGTTCGATCCCCACCCTGGAGGTGACCCACATGGCATGGCAGACCTCTCCTGTTCACCCCGCTGCTCCCCTCAGCAGTGTACTTCCGTCAGCCAGCCTGTTCTGCTCGCCACTCTGTGTCTGGTGAATTCTCTCACTGCCCCTGAGCCTCTGACCTGTACCACAGTTCTGTATGAGTAAATAAATAATATAATTTTTTTTTAAAAAAAGAAAGAAAGAAAAGGGCTAGAGCAGCATTTAAACAAAAAAAAAGTACTAGTATCCTAGTCAAGATTCTGACTTACCTGTATATACAGCTGGGCCCTGTGTATACAGCTGAGCCCTGTATATCAGAACTTTTTCTTTCAGAAAAATTCTAAAGTATAGCCATGGTAAAGAAACACTAATGTGGGAAAAACAAATTTCTCCAGCTCAGAAAATCCAGGAGGTTTTTCCTTTGTCACCACCTGTACTTGTTAGCATTTTAAAGATCTGATACATCCTTGCCTCTTCCAGGAAGTCTTCCCTGTCCTTTGTCTGCACTTTTGTACTTATGTTCTTCCTGCCCAGAATACTGCCTGAATTTAGCCCTGATCCTTTGCTCTTCCTCATCCTTTCAGACTTCAGCCATGCACCAGCACTTCCACAAAGCCTCTCCTTTCCTTAGACTCCATCAGTCTCCAAATCACTTCTGGACAGTATAAAAATTGGAAACAGGCCCTCCCTGGTGGCAAAGCGGGTTAAAGCACAGCATTGAGAAGCCAAAGCCACTTCCGCATGAGTTCGATTCCCACCTGCCCCGGAGGTGACCACATGGCGTGGCAGACCTCTCCTGGCCCGCCCGCTGCTCCCCTCAGCAGTGTACTTCATCTATCTGCCTGTTCTGCTTCCCACTCTGTCTCTGGTGAGGCCTCTCGCTGCCCCTGAGCCTCTGGCCTGTACCCCCATTCTGTATGTACAAATAAATAAATCTTTAAAAAAAAAAAAATTGGAAACAACCCTGTGGGAGAGGAAAACCATTTCTCCCTCTACCCTTATAGACTCTAGGCTAAGCATCCCTAAATAAAAGACAGATTGACAAGAGAAAAAAAAATGAAAGTTTGATAACACGTACACCTCTGCACGCCCAGGAGAGACCAAGGACACCTGAGTAACTCACTGCAATAGCCCATCCAGCACTGTAAGTACCGTTTTCAACTAACAATGAAAGATAATGGGCCAGTGGTGGGGAGCAGGGGCAGCAATGGGGGGTCATCAGGCCAACCAAGGTAAACAATGATGCTGCACAGAGTTCGTTTATGCCTTCTCCACTGATAAGTTTCTGGAGACTTAGTTATCCTTCCCTTCCTGATTCAGAGAGGGAAACATTCTTACAGAGACTTCTTTCATAAATGTAAATTTGTCTCACAAAAAGGCAGCTTCTACTCTGTTTTCAAAGATTCTCCTGTATCTGCAGCTTCTCAAAAATTATCCCAAAATAATCCTTAGGCAAAAAAGGCATATTTTAGGGTGGAACATTCTGTTTCCTTTCATTCTGTCTTTAAAACTCTAAGATGTCTCGCAGTCCAGATGCTGGGTTGGTAGACTGTTCTGTTACTTCACTGAACCAGTATCGTAGTCTCAAGAAGAGGGAAGTTCACTTCAACAGCTGTGTCTCATTTCAGGAGATAGTGTTGCACATAGACTCCCAAAGTTAAGCCTATGTTGTGTGAGTAGCAGCTATCAATAAAAGGCTATGGTGGGCCCTCCCTGGTGGCTCAGCAGGTTAAAGCACAGCACTAAGAAGCAAAAGCCACTTCAGCATGAGTTCAATCCCTGCCTGCCTACCCTAGAAGTGACCCACATGGTGTGGAAGACCTCAACTGACCCGCCTGCTGCTCCCCTCAGCAGTGTACTTCGTGAGTCGGCCTTTTCTGCTCCCCACTCTGTCTCTGGTGAATCCTCTCACCGCCCCTGCATCTCTGGCCTGTACCCCAGTTCTGTATGCACAAATAATCTTCAAAAAAAAAGGCCATGGTGTTCTAACTTACCCTTGCATGTCTGAAATGAAGATGTTTCTTCTTTTTTATATCCCCTGTCCATTTAGCTATCTTTCACTGAAACTACATGGTGAGGGCAGGAATTCAAGTATGTTTACCACTGTAATCCTAGCACTAAGCATGTACACTAGAGTTTGAACATTTATTTATGAATGGAAAGAAGAATGAATGCATGTGACAACAAATATAAAAGAAATTAAGAGGGAAGGAGGGAGCGGGTAGAAGGAAGGAAGGAAGGAAAAAAGGAAAGACAGACAAAATTGAACCATTTAAATTCAAGTCTGGGTAAAAACAGCCTGGAAGTTTTTGAAGGTTGGGCTCCAGGTATTTCCAGACACACCCCAGCAAGCTCAAACATGCCCAAATCCCACTTTCAGAAGAAGTGGAAACAAAGTCATTCTGCTACAGGCACCCCAGTATTAAAATTCAACCAATCATTCTCAACTAACTTTTTACCTGTTACTGCACCTTCTAGACTTCTAGCCTAATTTGCATAATGGAACACCAGTTGGAAATTGGTGGATTTCTAACCCTAATTTGCATCGCTGACTGGAGTAAGAACTATTCTGCCTTTTCTATGTGGATATAAGCACCACTCCATTCAGGCAACTCTGAACATAATTCAAAGGCTTCTGGAATCTGTGCCCCTGGGCTGTATGTAGTCCTAATAAAATCCCAAATAAACAGTTATATTTTGCCTCAACCAGGAAGGTCTCATTCATTCTGTGATGACAGATAGATGAATGGATGAATAAATGGGAAGTGGTCTTTGTGGATCTTAAATGAAGACCGTCTCAATTGTTTAGTGTTTCTATTGCATCTCTTATGTGTCTAATATATTTAACATTTATCTATCGAGACAGCCAACTTGTCTACCTTGGGAAAGATATGCCTAGTGGCTGCTTCCACCTCCCATAAATTGTGTTTGCCAAGCTAAACGACCCATATTCTGAAAAGGAATTGTTATCGATGGAGATTAAGAGTAAAAAATTTGGAAAGGAGCAGTCACAAGACCAGAAACCTAGTTCACAGGAGCCAAAAACTGGAGGTGGGGGCAGAAGTGATTACCATAGTCCTTAAACCAGCAATAGAAATGAAAAGTCCGTAAGGCCAACTGCTAGAGCAGGTATCAGACTGCTGTAGAGTATCAGGAGGCCAGGCCAGAGGTGGGGATATGGGGATGGGAGGCCAGCGGAGAACTGCTGACCCTTACAAATCAACCTAGTCACACCCCAGAAGCGATTAGGTTAACAAAAGTTAACAACTCCACAAAGAAATGAGTGCCTCCCAAAGAGAAGACCATACTTGTGCAATCTCCGCCCTGGCCAGGGGCAGCTGTCCCTCTGCCCTGGGCCTATGCAAGTGCTCTTTGTCACCATCTTCTCCCTTTGCCAAGCAGAAGAGGCAGCTCTCTTCCCAGGCTGCCAGCCTGTGACTAGCTGCCTCCTCTAGTTTGGCAAACTAGTCCTTTTCTTGGGTAGCCCTTTCTGCGCACTTGTGTCTTTGCAAGCATTCTCTACCTCCCCCCCCCCCCCTTTATAATAAACCTGCCTTTTGGCTATAACTAACATCTCTGTCTTGTGGAGAAACTCGACTGGGAAACTTGCTGGTGATGCTGAAAGGGGAGCTCTGATGAAACTTTTCCCACAGTAAACCCAAGGACCCCACCCTCCAAACCTAACACCTCTCTAAAACTGACTTCATTATGACTGTCTAGTTGGTCAGAAGTGTAAGTAGCATCCTGGACTGTCAGTTGGTTGGAGGGGTGCCCTGGAAGACTCAACCATTAACCTTTGCAATCTGAGGCAGTCTATGGGTAGACAATGTCATCTTCTAGTATCTGATAATTGCTTATTGGTGTGGAGAGGCCTATTCACATAAACTCACATGCAAATGATTGCAGGACACAGCAACACAATTCCATTCAAGAATACATCTCATTCAAAGTCAACTACTACTGTTTTGTAGAGCCTAAAGTTCAGAGTTTAAGAACCGTGCTCCAGAACTCACTCAGGAGTAGAATGGGGTTCAATCTCAGTATATTCCAAAAAGACTCATGTCTTCTCCCTTCCCAGTTTGTCCTTCAGGTAAAGATTACAGGGGCGCTAAAGTTAAATGTTCCAACATAAAGTCTGCCTAGAAGTTCCGTAAGAACAAAAATCTAACAGACCTGGACCTTGACAGTGCTCTGAGGATCCTGCACGTGTTCCAGGGTTGCATCGATATCCAGGGCTACCACCAACCCAGATGTAAACCGTAAAGGGTTGTCTGACTCGCCTGCTGGCTCAGTGATGGTGGCTGAGGCTTTGTGGATCTACAAACAAGAAGAAGATACCATGATGCACCTCTGGCCTATATCCCAGTTCTGTATGCATCAATAAATAAATCATTTAAAAAAAAGTTGAAGATCCCGGCCCTCCCTGGTGGCACAGCGGGTTAAAGCACAGCACTAAGAAGCTTAAGCCACTTGTGCATGAGTTCGATCCCCGCCTGCCCTGGAGGAGATCCACATGGCGTGGCAGACCTCTCCTGACCCGCCCGCTGCTCCCCTCAGCAGTGTACTTCGTCGATCTGCCTGTTCTGCACCCCACTCTGTCTCTGGTGAATCCTCTCACCCTCCACATCTCTGGCCTGTACCCCAGTTCTGTATGAATAAATAAATAAATCTTTAAAAAAAAAAAAAGTTGAAGATCCCAATGTGAGCAGTTCTGACTGTCAGGGCAGAATTGGCCTAAAGGGGTAAAACCTAGACCCTGACCTGCTCTGGAAGGGGGAGATGCAGGAAGGTACTCTGTCGCAGCATGGTCTGCAGAATTTTGACCACTTCTGCAGGTTTGGATGTCATGAGTCGAGGCATGAGGTCAAGAAGTTTGTCCACAAAACTGTCCTGCATTTGGGGCAAATCAGCAATGAAACACCTAGAATAATAAACAGAAGTAATGAATGAACCCCAAACCTCTGCCAAACCCTGAAGTAGGAAAAGTGATGAACTCAGGGTTCTAAAATGAGACAGCCAGGTTCCCAGAAAATTATACCTTAGTGATACCTTCACTGAGTCTTGTCTATTGAATACACATTATGTATCAGCTATACATTTACGTGTTTCATAATACCTTAGACAATCTTCCTAGAAATCCTGTACATTGTTCGAGTTATTTTATTAATACTACAGACTAATTAAATCAATTAATTAAATTAATCAGTTTAAAAAAACATGCCTTTAGGATTTACTAAGTGCCAAGTACTATCCTAGACTGGAGATACAACAATGAGCAAATGAAAAGAAAATGCCTTTCTCAATGGAGCTTACAGAAAACAGTAAGACTCAAGGTGGATGATGCTGAATTAAAGCTTAAAAAGGTAAGCAATTTATTCCCTGATCTTACTTATTCCACAGAACTACCTTGTGGAAGCGGACAGTCAAAAAATATTTCCCTGAGTGCAGGAACTCAGAACATGCAGCTCTACACAACAGAAAAGGCACTTTGACTATTCAGATTTGTTACTCTTGAAAAATCTCAACCTGGTGGTGCATGGATCAGGACACAGCACTGAAATGCCTCAGTGGAATTTGATCCCTTGCCCTGGAGGTGACCCACATGGCGCAGCAGACCTCTCCTGTCTTGCCTGCTGCTTTCTTCAGCAGTGTACTTTGTCAATCTGTTGTTCTACTCCCCATTCTATCTCTGGTGAATCCTCTCACCACCCCAGCACCTCTGGCCTGTACCCCAGTTCCGTATGCATGAATAAATACATAAATAAATAAAACCAACTCAGCTTTAAAAAAAAAAAAAAGAACACTGGGGTAAAAAAGATAAGTCATGATTTTTCCACAAGAGTTTCTGATAGGTAATATTTATCTTTTCATGACTCAGCTTAGTGCTGAATGCAAAATGACTATGGATGTTTTTATTATTTTGCTATTGTACATTTAGATTTGAAGTTAATGTTAAAGAAGTTTATAAAGAAAATTCACAAATTAGGGCAGGTTGCCACAAAAAATAGATCAATTGAATGGGCTAAACCAAGAATTCTGGACTGTGATCACCACTACTGCCTGTGTTAGTCTCTAGATAAGACAGAGAATGGCAAAATACTTACTTTTGAAAAAATTCCACCTCTTGCAAGAATTTTTCACACATCCCAAATAAGAGATCAACTCTGTAGAAAAGAATAAAGAAAAAAATACCTAATTAGCTTGTGAAATCTGTGAAATGAGGAATGAGGACCAAAGTCTCAGACACCTGAGCCTAAATGAAAGGAGAAAGAGTATACGATATTACAAAAAAAAAAGACCTCTAAGAGAAACCCGAGGACTCATAATGAACCTAGGGGAAATATCTGTCAGGATCCCTAAACTAGATTAAGACGCTCTTACAGCCAATAAACTCAATCAGTATTCAGAATCAAAAACTACAGCAAGTCTCAGCTGGCACCAGGTTAAGAGTAAATTGGAGGAGCACCACTTGCAAGCAGTGCAGGGTCACCTTACTTCTCTGCAAAAGTCCCTGCAGCTGTCCCCATGGCTGTCTGGGAGCCTGGACCCTGCAGCCGACAGCTCAGGTGCAAGGAGATGAGAAGCCGTGAGGCCAGTGTGGACAGCATCCTGACACACATGCTCCAAGGCACTCTTATCTCGTGAAATGATGCTATAGGCTTACTCCCGGTGGAGTATCCATCCCACACATACCACAAGTGATATGCCAGTTACCAAGAACAGGTAATTAGGTCCAAAGCTATGGCATCGGTACCAGGCAATTATAGTTCATGAATAGTTCTTTCTACTCTACATGTGATTTTCTCAGAGATCATTTTTACTGTATACTACCATAGCAGTATTACAAGTTTTATAGCCGATACTATCAACTTGCCAGGGAATAGATGTAGAAAGTAAACCAAAAGTCAAAATCTCATGTGGAAGGGGAAAGGCAGTTACCTAGACACAAGAGTATGCAACTGCATCTCTATCTTGACTTCTGCGTGATAGTACTTTGACTCTTTCATTTCAAAGCTAATGCCTACTTAAACAATGCTGGCAACACACTAAATTGATGAATCTTATTACTTACACAACAGATTTCTCGTTTTTCTTATTGGCATTTTCTTTTTATTACTTGTAATATATCCTGCAGGAAATTTCCTATTTATTTTTATTAATAGTAATTATAATTAATTCATTGAAGCTATAGTGTTCTAATAAAGAAAAGCAGACAAATACTCTTTTCTTGTTTAAAAAACTATAAGAAAATGGTGTCAGGGTTCTTAATAAACTAGCATAGTGTTTCTACTAAAATGTAAGCACCATGAATAAAGACTATTGTTCTTCTTGTATTTCTAGACACAAGCAGCTAATTATTAGGTACTTATTAATGAATAAAGGAGAAATGAAAATTATTCTAAAACCAATATTCATTTGAATTTTTTCCCTAAGAAACAGGTAGCATATGAAACTTTTTAACTAACAAAACTCCCAGAAGTGAAACTAACGTTTTAGAATGAGTTAACCTATCAAAGACCACGAAGGATAACAGGGCTAAAAGGAAGAACTCCAGCAGAGCAAAGTCTGAAAGGTTACACAGCACTGTTTTTTTTTTTTTTTTTTTTTGGTATGCTTCTTTAGGACTATATTGGAGCACCTGCAAGAATAAAATGCCAAAAATTTGTGAATTCTCTCCAGACCTCAAAATAGAGCAGGCAGTCTTCATCCTCATGCTACATGGAGTAGGCCTTGATCACTTGAAACCCTACTTTTTCTTTGGTGAGAGGAAGGAAGACACAGGAAAACTGGGACCCACTCAGGAAAAAAAATGAAACACTGACCTTCCCTACACTGGGGAAATCCACACCAATTATGAATTTAAACCAGTCTAGACTTTTTTTTAAATAAGTGTGCAAAGACAATGGAAAATTATTAGATAAGAATAGTTAGGACCTGGAAAGGGCTAAGCAGATCTCAATAAGAAAGTCAAAGCAAGAAAGTACAGAAAACTGAAGAGAAAAATTCTAATAAGTAACCTCAGTGAGATTTAAGCCAGGTGAAAGGATATTGCAGTAACACAGCAAGAGAGGGGCCTCCCTGGTAAGGGGCAGCACTGTGAAGCTGTCCACAGCCACTGCAGCATGAGTTCGATCCCAGGCCAGGGAGGCAACCCACACAGCTCAGCAGACCTCTCCTGTCTCACCTGCTGCTCCCCTCAGCAGTCTATTCCAGTGGATCTGCCCATTCTGCTCCCCACTCTGTCTCTGGTGAATCCTCTCAACTCCCCACACCTCCAGCCTGTACCCCAGTTCTTGTATGCGAAAATAAATAAATCTTAAAAACAAAAAAGCAAGAGAAGCTGTATGAAAAAAAAATGTAGAGAAGAACACAAACCGGAAAGAAACAGTGATAACGAAATCAGCTCAACAAAGAATATTAGAATTAAAAATGGTGAAAACTGAAGTGGCAAATTTTTAAAAAGGGTATTTACTCAGGATACAGAAGAGAAAAACTGAAATTATGAGAAAAGATAAAATTCAGGGAAAATAGACCCAGAAGATACAATATTCAGTATGAGAGTCTAGAGTGGACAGAAATAATAAAGAAATAATGAATGAGGAAAATCATTGCATTAAAAATAGAATTGAGACTTCAAAGTCCTACTGAAGGTCAGTAAGAATCTTGAAAGGAAACACATACCTAGACATACCCTGGTGAAATTTCTGAATTCTACAAAGAAAAAGTTTATAGCTTTGAGCCAGTACGAATAAGCTACCCACAAAGTAAAGAGAACCACATTAACACCAAACATCCTAACGATAACTTAAGTATTAAAAGGCAACACAAACCTCCAGAAGAAAGAAAGAAAATAATCACTACAGCAAAAATCCAAGAAGAGAATAAACAATTATGCATACAAATGGAAAATATATAATAATAAAGCATGAACAAAGACCAAATAAACATAAAAGAATCTTTATATAATGACACAGGAATTTGGAAATATATTGTTGGATGAAATGAAAAGGAAGATGAACTGCAAAGTATATTATGGACCCACTTATGTTAATATGCACATTGACTATCTCCACATGTTGATCTGGGTTAGGAAAAGTCTATCATCTGCCGTGTCAGAAGGGGAAGTTGACTGGGAAGCACTTTCTTAATCTGCAATATATGTTTTTATAGTCATATGTAAACTGAAAAGCATACCTTCTTTTTTAAATAAAAAAGTAAGCCATCATCACAAGCACCTATCCTTTCTCAGCTGTGATTAGCACACAGCATGGAGTAAACATTTATTTAATGAAAGTATGGATGATAAGATTAACCCACCACCTGAGTTTTTCAGGTATACCACGTTACTGTCCAGATAAATGAAGATATAAAATAATATGCAGAATGTTCTTTTTAATATAGTATTTCTCAGCAACTAGTTAAACACTCATTTATTGTCACTTTAGGGTGACACACTGCTGGAGCGAGCAGCAGATGCGCCTTGGATGTAGCAACAGGTTACCTATGTGCAATATTACGTCAAAACTATGATGCCCTTGTTCTTAAGATGTACTTTTATTTTATGAAACATCAAGAGCAAAGACTTTCAAACTATAGCACACCATCAAAATATCTGACTTCAGAGAAGGGGAAACTTTCAGAAGTACATTTTAGAGTTAATGAACTATGGCAATTTTCATAATCAGAAAAATCGAATAGTTACCTCTATACTTAGTAACCCAAATATCATGTGCTTTTACATGTATTTTTTCATTCATTCTTCACAGATACCTCATGAGACAGATGCTCATTCTACAGACAAGGAAATAAGGTACGAAAAGGCTTTTAACAGTGTCAGTAATCAAACAGTTGGTAGTAGAGGAGTATAGTATATGTTCAAATATACTATACAGTATATTCTTTTGTTTTTACTGCCAGGATGAGAGCTTGCTTACTGGTTCTTCCAGAAAGAAAAGGTGATCCTTGGTACCAAATTCATTAAGAAATCTATAAAGGGCTAAAGAAAAAGTTCTTGTTGCCAGATGAGGTCCTGTGTTGTGCTGCAAACAGCCACTACAGGGGGTTTTAAAATTCTAATCTGACACAAGAAACAACTTAGAATATCTGAGAAACTGACTGACCTCACATCCCTTAGCTAGCCTTAGCTAGTCTTTGTAGGCTTCTCTCTGACCTGGATGAGAAACCTAAAGGCATTTGAAAGTACCCGTGCTGCCTCTTTGGCCAACAGCACTCCTTACCCTCGAGTAGTTCGTGCTGTTACTATAAGCTGCAAGGCTTTGGCCTGAAGTCTCATGTGATGTATAATCACCACCTGCTTGTTCTCCACACCACTGTACATGAACTCCATTTTGTAGGTTTCTTCCATGATCTATAAGGAAACAGTAATTAGCAGACAGTAAATATAACAGTCTTGAGAGCAACATAGAATTCTAAGATGAAAATCTGAATTGAGCTGTTTTTTAATACCTATGTTTTATTTTTGTTTGTGTGCATACATTTATTTATATTTTAATTATTGTTCATTTTTAATCAATGTCTGCTCTTTTACTTCCCCCCTCAAGAAGTCCCCATAGAACTTCTACCACCAATCCAGCTGGCATCATCACCAAAGTACCCGGTGCTCCTCCTGCTCTCCTAATTCCTCTCCTTCCCCAACCCCTGCAGGATGTCTCTGCCTTGTCATTTTGTTTGTTTCGTATGGTTATTTTTTTCCCCTCTGATATTTTATTTATCTAAGTGAGGCCATCCAATATTTTTCTTTTTCCTTCTGGCTTATTTCACGGAACATAACTCCTTCTAGTTCCATCCATGTAGCTGCGAATGGTGTTAGTTTATCTTTTTGGATTGCTGAATAGTATTCCATTGTGTATTATGTACTACATCTTGACCCAATCATCTATTTTGGGCATATAGTTTGTTCTCAGGTTTTACTGATTGTAAATAGTGCTGCAATAAACATAGGGTACAGGTATTCATTTGAATTGATGTCTTTGTATCCTTTGGAAATATCTATGTTTGAATTCTGACCTGAGATTAAGTGCCATGTTGAGAAAGTAAAGGTTGAAAGAAATTACTACTAAGTGTTCAGAGAAATTAGTACAGCATGTCTTTTGAAAGGAGAAATTATTTTGAAAATTAAATAATCATCATAGTTGATAATAACATATAAAGTTTAATCACTGATAAAACTGTGAAGTTTTGCCTGTTGCTCTAAACCAATTCACTGTGCTGTGGGAACAAACAGACATACCCTCTAGAAAACCAATCCCCAGGAAAAATGCTCAAGACTTTAGCAGCAGGAGCCACTGCCCACTGTTAGTCATCTGGACAGATTGTTCTTCGGGCCTAATCTGTCAGAGAGTTTGGGGAGGAAGTTTAGAAAGAAATGTCTATGACCTCACTTCAGGCCCAGTGCATCTTAAGCTTTTGATTTATTCCATCCAAATCAGCTAGTCCCATCCAAATGATGCTTCTCTTCCCTTCCTTTGAAGGCTTTGGCAGTCAGAAAAATGACTCCAGTCTCTCTCACAACTAATAATAAAACAAGTAACTTAGTTACAAGACACCTTAATTTTCCCTCCTTATAAATAAGAAAGAAAGAGCACCATTATAACATTTAAAGTATGAAATGGGGTTGAGAAGTGATGAGCACAGTGACTGGCACACAGCAATGATAATTCCTTCCCTCCCTTTCTTCCCAATACCTACTGCTCCCTTGTCAGGCCAGTGAAATGGGATGAAAAAAAAAAAAAAAAAAGACTCTTGGTATCAGAGGATCTGGGCTCAAGACCTGACTTTACTACCTGGATATAATCTTGCTGAGCTTTAACTGTCTTGTCTGTAAAATGGACTGAATAGTATTCCTGTGTAATGGTGTTACTGTGACAGTGAATTAAAACCAAATTGGTATCATTAGTGAAACATAAAGGAACAATCACAGTCACCATCATTAGCATCCCAGTAGGTGATAATCACTGGGTAACATAAAGATTTCTACCCAAAAGACATGACCCAGAAGAGTTTACCAAATCCTAATACATCAAAATAAGGGGAACCGTCTCAAAGTAAAATAGACATTAACTTAAGGTTAAAAAATTTAAATACTATTTAATAGTTTCTAAGGAGAAACATAAAGACATTTGATACTCAAAAAATGGTACAGTTTAAAAATATAAACATTCTCAAAATTAATTTAGGTACATTTTCAGATGAAAGGTCATGATAATACTTACTGGATTTTAGTATATCTGAATGTGATAGTATTTCAGAACACAAAAGAAACTTAGAAGTTATCTAATAACTGCCATACTGCCAAGTCATGGAACCAACCCAAGTATCCGAGAACAGAGAAATGAATAGAGAAAATCAACGGACTACTATACATCTGTGAAGAAAGTTGAAACAGTGGCATTTGGGATAAGAAGGATGGAACTCAAGGTGATTATGCTACTGTGAAATTAGTCAAAAAGTGAAAGAAAGATCGTGGATGATTTCACAAGAATATAAATACCCAAGAAATGTTTACATAAAGCAACAGAAGGAATAAAACTGGAGCACAGTAAAAAGAAGACAGTGATTGCCAGAAATAATAGGAGAAAAGGATGGAGAGGGTAAGGGTGAGATGCACATGAGATATGGCCGTGGGTTTGCTGGAGGGGGAAAAAATTAACAAAGGAAAGAATTTTAATTGATCTATGTAAAAATGTACAGGCAATATAGAAAATGGAAAACTCAGGGGTACAATCTGAAAAAAAATTAATGATATGGGAAATTCTGCAATATAAGTAGCAATTTTTCAAAAAGTGTTGCTGTTGTTTTTTTTTTTAAAGATAAAAGAGACCCCTCAAAAAATTAAATGCCATATTTTACAAGAGAGAAAAAATTCTAGGAGGTTAAGTAAACTGCAAGTTAGCACCCAGCAAATGATAAACAAAGCTGTGACGAGGGCCCAGGTCCCCTAATTCCAAAGCCAGTGTCATATCCCCTAATTATGTTGCTTTTCATATCATTAATTTCTGTCACATGATAAAATTAGGGATGTACAACAGAGGTATGGAATGATGTGAACACCTTTGGCTCTGACTCCCAACAGTTCCTAGGTAGAGATGTATCTGAGGAGAGGTCTCATTAAGCTTACCTGTTTTGCTGCTGCTGAAGCTAAATCACTCTGCTTCAAATACAAAGGGGCAGCTACATTCCAGAGTTTTTCCTGCAAGGCCTACAGAGACAAATCAGGAAAGGCCAGCACACAGAAGTCACAAAGGCTGGCATAGCAATTGCAACTTAGGTGTTTGTTTTGCTCTGAAAATCTAGTATGACTGAGATTTCCTCTTTTATGCCAAATAAACCCTATCTATTACGCAGATGGAGAGACCAATGGTTTGGGTTAAAGGAACTCCGGTTTATTCAAATCCAATTCCTGGATCAAAGCCCCAGACTAGAGCTTGCAGGCAGAGTGTAGGAGCCATTCAGGCCTCACCAGACTGTCCAGGTAAGCCAGCTTTTGCGGTTTTTGGTCCTCGTTTTCCCAGAGACACTGGATACCTTAAGCCATCTAGACTTCTTCCCCTTAACTGTTTTTTTGTTGTTGTTTATTTTTGCCTTTTTTTTTTTTTTTGCCTCATACTCACTATCTATTAAGTAATTCATCGTTTCACAAAATACCCAAACTAGAAATCAAGTTTTCCTAGATGGCTCCATCTTTCAATTTCTCTATATTCAAAACTATGACTAAGAGTCATGAATTTTACTTTCCACATCTCCCTTTCTCCTCTCCATTCACATGGCCCCCCATCTCTCACCTAAACTTCTGCTACAGTCTCTTATCTTCATAGCCCTTCTTAAGACATTAGACATAATCTAATAACATTACAGAAAACCTATAGTAACAATGTGAAATACAAATATAAGCCACAGGTGAATTTTACATTTTCTAGTAGTAACATTTTAAAAAGTAATATCCTTTTAATATGTATCAAATTTTTAAAATTATGAGGTAGTTTATGTTCCTTCTTCATACTAAGTGTAAGAAAACAGACATGCACTTTGCTCTTACAGCATATCACCATTTGTACTAACTACATATCAAGTGCTTAATCATAACATGTCCTGGTGCTATGATTATTTACACAGCAACAGGTCAAGATTGTGGGTAGGTAAATTTTTTAATCAACCAAATCATACTATTCTTAACAGATTTATTATTTTTGAATCTTTACTCACAATCATTTCTCATATGCTTTTTTTGTTTGTTTTTGCAGTATAAATCTTCAGAGATCATTGTGATATAGATTATGCTGTTGAGTAGACGTGCCAGAATTTATTTAGCTCTTTCCTTGTTATCAATACATGCCTTCCTCAGACTCTAACGTTAGGTTCCTTATCCTGCACCTCTCTTACATGCTTTCTAGAAATCTTTCTTCACGCTTCTTTTGCTACTATAGAAAAGTAAGATTCCTTTTAAAGGTCTTCTTATATTTCTATGGACTCAAACACTGATGGATCTGATAAAGTACATCATAGAACATAATCATGAATATAGTAAAATCCAAACCAACCTTGATGAGAAGAAGTTGACACTGAAGATAAGTAGCAGAGAAATCAGCTACTCCTGCTAATTCAGATTGAAGTTCTCCAAGTCTTTGCAAATCCCTGTAGAAAATAAACCCCAAGTCAAATATAGAATAAAAACAATGACACCAATATAAAGATCATGTCAAGAACATTTTTATCATTTTACAATGAGGAAAAGGTCATAAAAATTTAAATGACAGCACTGGTGTATTGATGATGCAATTCTATAGTAGCAAAAGAAGCATGAAGAAAAGAGATTTCTAGAAAGCACAGTGTAGTTATAATGCTGGTGTAGTTATAATGAAATTGATTCACTCACACTTTGATAGCAGTAAAGTTGATGTAATTCTTTTGAAAAGTCATATTGTACTATGTTAAAAATAAGTCACATATATGGACAAATACTTTGATCCTTAGTTGTAATTCTGAGATTTAATTCTAAGGAAATAGTTAACAAAAATGAAATGCTTTAAGCTTCATGAAATTAATTTTTGTGTGGACTATTCAGTAACATCCATTGCTTAAATATTCAATGGCAAAAAACTTTTAAAAATGTTTATTTATTTTTACATCATTCTTCATTTTGTGCATTATTTTCATCTCAGTTGTAATCCCCATGGACTTTCCACCACCAATTCATCCATATGCCATCACCATAGTCCCGTGCACTCTTCCCACTCCAGTTTTAATCCTCTTCCCCTCTCCACCCTCGTAGAATGTCTCTGGTTATTTGTTGTTTTTGTTTTTACAGTGTTACAATTGCATTTTATTTTTCCTTGATCCCTTACACTTCTGCTATGAGTGAAACCATCCAGTAATTTTCTTTTTCTTTCTGGTTTATTTCACTAAGCATGATCCCTTTCAGCTCCATCCATGTTGCTGCAAAAAGCATGAGTTTATCTCTTTTGATTGCTGAATAATATTCCATTCTGTGTATGTACCACACTTAATCCAGCCATCTGTTTTTTGGCACTTGCGTTGATTCCACATCTTCCCTATTATAAATAGGGCAACAATAAACATAGGATTGCAGGTGTCCTTCTGAATCAATGTTTTTGTGTCCTTTGGGTAGACACTTAGGAGTGGGATTGCTGGGTCATATAGAAGCCCATTTTTAGCAGTTTGAGAGACCTCCAAACAGGTTTCCATAGTGGTTGTATCAGATTGCATTCTCACCCGCAATACAGTTCCTTTTTTCCCACATGCTCACCAACATTTGTTGTTGCTAGTTGTTTTAAGATGTGCCATTGTTACTGGTGTGAGGAGGTATCTCAATGTAGTTTTGATTTTCATTTCCTTTATTACAAATGATGCTGAACATTTTTTCATATGTTTGATGGCCGTCTGAATTTCCTCTTTGGAGAAATGTTTTTTTAGCTCTTCTGCCCATTTTTTGATGGGATTGTTCACTTTATTTTTCATTGAATTTCATCAGTTCTTTGTATATTTTTGTGATCAGTCCTTTGTCATTAGTAATGTGTTCAAAGAATTTCTCCCAATCAGTGGGGTGTCTCTTTGTTTTATGTATGTCTCTTTTGCTGTACAGAAGCTTTTTAACTTGATGTAGTCCCAGCTGTTTATCCTTTCCTGGTAAAAGAACTTTTAGTTCTTGTATACCTAATCAGTGTAATATTATAAAGTCATTAAGTAAAATGGTGATAAGATGTAAGATCTCAACTATGTGAAACACAGCAACATGGCTTTTGGATAATACCATAAGGGTGCTTTTGGTACCTTCCCTCAACTGTGCTTTATTTTCCAAGTGCTTATACAATGGACAAGTGCTTTTTGTATTATCCAGAAAAAAAAAGTATTTTTAAGGTATCATGCTGACTCTTATTCAGTTACACATTCTCCACTTCTTCCTTTCTAACTAAAGTAAACCCTAAACCTGTTCAAGGGAAGGTGTTACCAAACCCAGTAACAACTAAAGTCTGACTGGACAAAGCACTGGTTATGTGAACTAAGTTGGCCTTATCAATCCTAGTAGAAGGACTTTTATTCCATCGTGGAGCAACTCTGATGGTGTGGTGATCTGTCTGTCTCTTTCTCTCTCTCTTAATCTCTCTGTCTCTCTCATTCACACACTCACACACCCCATCTATTTCTCACTAGATTAAACAAGAATGTTTACAGTATTTACTACTACTGGCAGCCATAATGTAACTCTAAAGGAGGAAAAACCTTGGAATAAAGCAAATACTGAGGATAAAGATAACCCACAGAGAAACAGGGTTCTAAATGATAGGAGGTACTTGAATTAGAAGTGCCTCATGTTTGTGTTCATATGACTAAATAGCCATTGTGAGCTAGTCCGAGATAACATCTTCTAAGACCCACAAATAAAAGCATCCTAACTGAATACAGAAACAGATAAAGTGACCGCAACTGTAGAAAACGTACCTCCCCATGGATAAGAAAATACAAAGTGGGACACAAAAATAAAATAGTTATGTAGGGCGTGGGGAATTACTGATGATTTAAACTGTTTTAGTTTTTGAATAGGCAATTCATACAATTGGATACAAAAGGACATACAATTAAATTAGTCCATTTTCCTATACCTGTGTCTGGCTAATCAGTATACCCTTCCCAGAGCAATCACTTTTACCAATTTCTTCTGACTTCTTTCAGAGAGAAGTTTTACATGCACAAAATTATTGTTTTTCCTTTCTTCTTTTCTTAGAGAAGAGTGTGGGGGTGAAGTGGGGGGGTGTTCATAACAACCAGAAAGCATTTATAGAAAGGTACCTTGCTTTTTAGAGATTGCAACAAAATTTCACATCGAAATGATAGCTATAGATTTGAGTCACTAGGATGGTTTACTGCTTTCGGGGTGGCATAACAGAACAGGAGTCACAAAGCCAGAATAAAACTGTCCATCAAAATAAGCCCCTTCCTCTAATCTCACATGATTTTCTGATAGCTAATGTGGCCACCCAGGGACATTGATACACAAGAATGAAGCCAGGAAATGGCACAGAATGGATTTTTTCCAAAGTCATTGAAGGCTTGGAGGTTTGTAACTTTTGCATCATTCTTGTGAGATTTGGTAGTTGAGCTGGTCCTGGAGAATCTGTTAGTATGTGGGACTCCTGCACAATTAAAGATAAATCCCTATACTATTTTTTTTTACAGATTTATTTATTTATGCATACAGAACTGAGGTGTAGGCCAGAGGTGCAGGGGCCATTAGAGGACTCACCAGAGACAGAGTGGGGCGCAGAACAAGCAGACTGATGAAGTATACTGCAAGGGGAGCAGTGGGCGGGTAAGGAGAGGTCTGCTGCACCATGTGGGCCACCTCTGGGGCTGGGGCTGGAACTCTCATTGAGGCAGCTGCGGCTAGCTTGTAGTTTGTCCTAACCCATTGTGCCACCAGGGAGGGCCCCCCTATACTATTTAACCACACCTGTGCAGTGCTGTTTTGGTGGCCAGCTGGTCTCCCTTTCCTGTCTCTGATGTCTGTCTTGTAAAGGACAGCCGTGAGTCATTTTATTGCTGAAGTATTTCCTCGCCAAGATCCTGCCTTTTGTTATAATTGTAGAGAGCAGTGACCAGCTAACTGACTATACATTAGCAAACTATCTCCAAGTATTAAGTTACTCAATCACCCTGGGACGTTAGCAAATGTTCTGAATTGCACAGAACAAGATGACAGTCAATTAACCGTGGGAAATCTGAACTACTATACAAATAAAGATGGACACTACTAGCCCTGGGTAAAATGTTCTATGTCCCAGTATTTCTTCTCTGCATCTCTTTATGGTCACAATTACTAGGAAGCTTCCTTTTAGGCATCCAACAGGCTCGTTAATGAGATGAGAAAGGTACCAAGTGCACCCCCATGCACACTGTACTGTGCTACATCTTTCCTTACTTGAGTTTAATTATTTAATCTGTACAATGTGAACTGCAATTAATACTGTTTCACTTAGAATGAAACAAAGATCAGAGCTGAAGAAGCCTGCCCAAGGTCACATTGGCAAAATGGGCCTTGAGCGCAGGTCTGTATGACTCTCAAGAACTTTTTAAACTCTATTTTTTTGCATTGAATTAATATAATTTGCTATTAAAATCCTTTCATATGTGTACAAACTACATCAGATATAGATGAGACCAATACTGATTTAAAACTAGACACAGTCACATTTCTACATATGTCATCTGCAGAACATTTTAAAAATAGTCTAAGAAAACAGATTTGTGTATATTGTGACCTTTTTTTAAGTTTACACAACAGGCTGAATTACCTAATGTTAAAACTTTTGAAAGGTAGTCAAAAAGATTCATGTAGAATGGGGAAAGGGATCAGAAACAGTACAGGGAGGGAAGTGCACTGAACTATGGTGATGGCACACGGGTGATTTGGTGATGGGAAGCCCACAGGGATTACAACTGAGATGGAAAAATGCACAAAATGATGTAAAAATAAACTATTATAGTATTAAAAAAAGACTCATGTATAAATCAAACATTATTTATGACTGAACAATTTCCTTCAACCTTTTACATTCTCTAAACATCAAACATATAACTAATATCTCTGAGTGGTTTGGTAGAATAACAAAAGAATGTTAGATAACTATAAAGTCCTGGCCGCTTTTCAAAAGCTATTGTCAACATTGTACCCAGATGATTAAAAATTACAAATTTTATTTCTGCCTCTGAAGTTACTGAACTGCAGAGTGCAAAACAGGTATGATGCCTTACAAAGAGCAAAAGTTGCACAGTGAATGGAAGACTTAAAGAGTTTAATGAGGAAGTTCCATGTCCTTTATAATTGGTGTGCAAAAACATTCCCATTAGGAAAAAAATTTTTTTTATCAATTCCACATAAATGAAGCCTCACTTTAAATTTAAATGAACTGTTTCATTTGGAAAGAATAGTTCTCTATGATGGAACACTTGTAATGTGATGTGGTTTTTTGTAATGATAATGTACATTCCCAGTAACATCATAACATCACAAAATATATGAACTCTAAAAAAAATTAGTTTATTTTCAAAAGGGCAAACAATTGGCACCAGTGTTTCTTAAAAGATGATGTCCTCCTACTACCAATGAATTAACATAATTATACTTATAAGGTTTGGATTGGATTTTAGTTAAATTCACCAGCATATTCAATGTATCAAATAAGTCACAATGTTTTATATATATTTTTTAAAGATTTATTTATTTATTCATACAGAACTGGGGTACAGGCCAGAGATGCGGAGGGTGAGAGGATTCACCAGAGACAGAGCGGGAAGCAGAACAAGCAGATAGATGAAGTACACTGCTGAGGGGAGCAGCGGGCGGGTCAGGAGAGGTCTGCCGCGCCATGTGGTCACCTCCAGGACAGGCGGGAATCGAACTCATGAGGAAGCGTCTTTAGTTTCTCAGTGCAGTGCTTTAACCGGCTACGCCACCAGGGAGGGCCCAACAATGTTTTATATTTTAAAAGAAAATGAATGCCCAATTATTTTATATATAAAGTATTCTCAAAATGCTTTCCACACATCATTATAATAATCTTCACAGTAGTCCTCTGAGTAACATGGTACTCTGAATTTACAGGTCCAAGATTATAGACCTAGGAAGTGGTAAAACTAAAACCTTGGGCCCTCCCTGGTGGCACGGTGGGCTAAAGCATAGTACTACAAAGCTGGCCATGGCAGCTTTGGTGCGAGTTGGATCCGCACCCCTGAGATCGTGATCCACGTGGCACAGACCTTTTCTGTCCCTATCCCTGCTTCCCTCAGCAGTGTACTTCGTCAATCTGCCTGTTCTGCTTCCCACTCTGACTCTGGTGAATCCTCTCACCACCCCTGCGCCTCTGGCTTGTGCCCAGTTCTGTATGCATAAGTAGATCAAAAAATCTTTAAAATAAAACAAACAACTTAACCAAGTCATTTGGCTTTAAATCTTATCATATTACATGTTTTACATCACAGAAAGTGTTAACCAGAAAAAGCAAAGGACCAAATGGAAAGGCTGATGTTCTAGTCCAGGACTCTACTGTTCATAGTCCTTGATTTTCTTCTTGCTTTACCACTTGGTTAATTTCTAGTCATTCTTTAAGTCAATGGATAGGCCAATCCAGGAAAGGTTTCTATTCTAGAGAAGCCAGTACTTACTATACTTAAGTGTGGAAAGCATAACATTGCATTTCTTGTTTACCTAGGAATTTCTCAACTCGCCTGTAAGATCCCTCACAGCAGATTAGCTGATATACTAGTAGGTGTCTTCTGCCTAGCACAATGTTGGGAATCTGATGGAAACTTAAAAACCAGGTAACAAATGAGTCAAACCCAGACTCCTCCCATGCTTATTATCTCACTTGTGGTAGTTATGGTGAAATTTTCATTGGCTTTCAAATTCCATGAGATAACATATACTTAGAAGACTGAGTACGTAAGATATAGCTGGCATCTGATAAACAGTAGCACTTGTTATGATGAAGGATAAGAGCCTTATAAATACATTAGATCTCTATGCCTGGTGGCGAAATATGATCAGAAGAAAATGCCATCTATAAAAATCTAAAATGGGTCCAGTCCTGGGTAAGCCAGTGGAACTAGTGTGTTATACAAATGTTTACTGAGCTCATATAAAGAACTCATGGTACAGTGGCAGAGACCAAGTAGTCATATCAGGTTCTAGAAACAAAAAGCCATCTCCCAGCACCTTCACTGAACTACAGCAAACTCTCTACAGGTAAAAATTTGGTTAAACGGTTTCACAAACTCAACAAAGGTTAATGCGTATGATGAGGAAGTTTATTTTATACTAGTAAGAACAGGCAAGGGTCCCAGTCCTATTCAGAGTATCTACTGTATGAAACACTAACATTTCACTTTCAACAATTAAGGAAAACTAAGTTCTGAAAACCTTAGGGGTCATATAATCTAATCTCCACTTGGGTGCAAGAACCACTTCACTGCTACCTATAATAGAAAATCAGTTGTAGAGTCAGTCAAAGCTAGATTCTGATTCCAACTCTGCTACCTCCTCGCAAGTCGCAAATTTCCACCTGTCTGTAACAGGGTAACAGCCTGTAACTACAATAATGTTCATAAAACAAAGTAGCCATCAAGAACAGCTGTGCCATTTGTTTTTCTTTCCAGACCTTTCACCCATCCTGACCTCACTCTTCAGAAGGCACTCAATTTAGAATCATGGTGCAGGACTGACCACAACAGTCTGATCCACCAAAGTGTAGAGTTCTGTCACCTTATAAACCCCAGGTCATGAAGGCAACTCAAATCAACAGTGTTACTGAGAACCTACTAGTAGCCAGCACTGTGCCCAACTGGTTTGCTTTTGTGCATTTTTTATCTTTTTTTTGTTTTTAAAGATTTATTTATTTATTCATACAGAACTGGGGTACAGGCCAGAGATGCTGAGGGTGAGAAGATTCACCAGGGACAGTCGAGAGCAGAACAGGCAGATCAATGAAGTACACTGCTGAGGGGAGCAGCGGGCGGGTCAGGAGAGGTCTGCCACACCATATGGATCTCCTCCGGGGCAGGCGGGGATCGAACTCATGCGGAAGTGGCTTAAGCTTCTTAGTGCAGTGTTTTAACCCGCTGCGCCACCAGGGAGGGCCTGCATTTTGTATCTGTTTTAATGCCAACAGGATCAAAAACTGGCCAGAGAAAAAAACCTACATGTTTATTTAGGGATGACCAAGTCAGGAAGTATCTTATTATACTGGAAAAGTGCCAACAATTTCAACTACTTGCCTCCAAAACTAAGCACTTTGGGAAGGGAGCAGAAGAAAATGTACTGGAGGCATCACTTCAGGGTCAGCAAATATTTTAAGCTTTGCAGAACACAGGATCTCAGTGGCACCTACTCAACTCTGTCACTGAATCATGAAAGCAATCTTAGATAAAAGTTAAATGAGTGAATAAAGCTGTTTAGTTAAACCTTACTTACGAAACCCGATATATAATACTTTTGCTAAAGACAAAGAGACTTCAATTCCTTTTATATCATGCAGGTCATTTCAATAAAATCTGGCAGGGTGGGCTGTTTGCTAACATCCTCTCTTCCTGAGTAGTAGAGTCACCAAATTGTTAAGCACCAGAATAAAGATTACCCACGTTTCCTAATCCCTTACGGCTGGATAAAGCCATGTGATATTAGTCAATGGGATAAAAATTAAATTAAAATACATAAATTTTTGTAAGGGTATTTAAAAGGGGGTAGAAATGATCTCTTGCTCTTGCCCATTTTCTTACAGGACACAGCTAAGAGTCACCATCTTTAGGCAGAAGCTCTTGATAATAAGAAGAGATAATAGGCTAAACTCCTTGGCTCTGTCCTGCCTATAAGAGAGAATCTTTCCTCCTGTTTTAAGCCATGGTTACTCTGCATTTTCTATGACTTATTCTTACTAAAATGCAAGGAGGGAAAAATAAAAACAGCTTTTTGTAATTTTCCAGTTTTGCACTAATCGTTGATCTGCTAATGAAGACAAAGAGCTTTTCTTTGTAGTAAGTTCAAACCATAATTTAATACAAATTTTAAAAGTTCATAAAACAAGGTGTCCCAAAAACTAACCAGCCAACACTGGAAATCTAAAGAGTCATGCAGAGCATAGCAACAATGTCAACTTTGTCAAAGTAAAGTGATGATCACCTCACCTGATGGTGAATTCCAGCAGTTCCTGAGTTCCCTGAGGGTCCAGATGCTGAAGACTGTACACCCTTTCGAGGCTCTGCTGCAGGAACTGATGGGAAGGATCCTCGTGAGGTGTGATGTTGGGGGAAACAGCTGCAGACACTAGCTTCCTCCCTGGCAACTAAGCAAACATAATGGATGGCAATGCCATCAAATTCTGTGACCCAACTTTTGGAAACACCAAAAAAACAGAAGAAAATGTAAGCCAAACTAAGAAAACAGGCTAGGTGATTATGTAAATAAACTTGTCACTGAGGAGGGCAGGGGGAGAAAAAGGGAATATGATTGAGAATGAACAAATTTCACCCAAAACAACCACAAGTTGCAAGAAGAAATAGAGAGAGAGGGAATGATGTCTTACTTTCTATAGTTAAATGAAATAAATGGCTAATGGTAGAAATGAGACTAAGAATTAAACTATTCTCACGTTCATTTTTAAACTTTTATTTTTTTACTTCATGAGTGATTTCTTCCCAAATAAATTTATACAGCATGCTATAAAATATTTTATATGATGATAAAATAATTCTTATTCTTACGTTAAAAGTGATTACATTTTAAGAAAGCAATGGAGGGGAACAGCAAAGAGGATTTTGCTTTTAATTCTGTATATTCTATACGGGTTAAATTTTCCTGCCATAATTTGTGTGTGTGTGTTATTCGAAATAAAATAATTTAAAATTACTACTAAGAGCTGAGAAAAGTGCCTATACATAGTTAGCACTTAATAAATGTTATTATCATCACCATAGTTCATTTTTTAAGTAATTTTCTTTCTATATCACATTTTTAAAAATAATGGTTTATTATTTAAAATGATCTTGAGAATCATGACTTTGTGTAACTGTTAAAATACCACATATTCTACCTTTAATCTAAAATACATTATTCTAGGTTCCTTGTTCTTGCCTAACATAATTAATGACCCAGAAATATTTATAAAGTAAATCTTATTTTTTTATTATTATTTTTTAATCTTATTTTTTAAATGAATTTTCTTAAAAGGTAAAAGATACAGAAGCAAAAATACAAAACAATAGGAGAAATTTTAAGAAGAAAGGAGAATGGCTATGTTTATAGAGAATCTAAAGTATGCTTTCTGCCACTTAACAACCACAAAGAACCAAAATTTTAAAAAATAACCAAAAACAAGGACAAAAGATATTTTCAACATACCCTCAAGGCAGGAACAAGATGAGAAAGACTATCTCGGAGGTAAGCATAGTGTCTGAAGGTATGATCTGAGAACAATGCTGGCATTGTTGGACAGGCTTTAGCAGCATTGAAAATAAGAACCAAAACGGCAATGTCTGACAGATGAATGAGTTAAGAGAACCTGGAGATTAAAAATTTGAGCTTGGCCAGAACTGGTGCCTTGATTTCCTACTCTCAAGTTCTCCATTAATTAACTGCAATTTTCTAAAAATACATGTAAATTCAAACAAAAAAATACATTACAACACTTCAGATTACTAAAATTACCCCTTTAAACTGCCAAAGACTTTAAAAAATTATGCCTAGTGCAGCTGAGAATAACAACAAACAGAAACTTTCAGTATACATACAAGCAAAGTTTGTAGAGGCATACCTCAGAGAGCGTAGGTTTGTTTCCACACCACTACAATTATTTATACTAGTAAATAGTCAGAAACAACCTAAAAGTCTAGGCCAGAGAATGATTGTACAATTGTGTTTCATGTACTTGACAGAGTATTAAATCTGAGGAGGTGTGATCCTATGCCTCTGAATTACATATAGTAGTGAATGTTACCTCAGCAAAAAAAATGTACTTAAAAAGTATTACTGTATGGCCCTTCCAAAGGGTTGAAGCACAGCACTATGAAGCTAGCCACAGCTGCTTCAGCACAAGTTCAATCCCCAGCCGGGAGGTGACACAAATGGCCTAGCAGGCTACTCCTGTCTTGCCTACTGCTCCCCTCAGCAATGTACTTCATCAATCTGCCCATTGTGCTCCCCAATGTCTCTGGTGAATCCTCTCAACGCCCCAGCACCTCTGGCCTGCAACCCAGTTCTGTATGCATAAATAAATCTTAAAAAAAAAAAAAAGTATTACTGTAACAGGATGGTTCCCATAGAAGGGGGAGGTTCCAGGTTTCCCACCCTCCGGAGGGAGGTGGAGCTGAGCAGGGAGGAGATGAAGCTGGAGAGACAAAGAAGGAAGGAAGAGGCATGGAGAACAAGGAGACCTGGAGAGGCATACTGAGCAGAAATGTGAAAAGCATCACATATAGTACTGAATTAGCATTTGTCATAAATGAAAAAAGCGAACTTTAAAATATCAGAGGGGATGACAGCAGCTATTATCAAATATTTGTTGATGAAATAAACTACATTAAAAAATAAAATTCTAGCAAAATCCCAAAACCAAAATTTTAAAAGGGAGCAGAAATACACCAAAATACTAACAATTAGTTTGATTAGTAGGACTTTGAGTTTTGAACATAATTTCTTTTTTCAAATTCTTTAGATTTTCTTTCTATGTATATTTATTTTGTAACAGAGGGAAAGTCAGAAATTTTTAAAAGGTTAACACTGCCGGGCTAGTGTTTACCCAATATCCAGTCTTCCCTTTCACTTGACTAATATGATACTATTTTATTCTAGATATCCTCTAATTTCCTGCCTAGAACCTAGTCGTAATGATTAGAGTTTTTGCAAAATCTCAACTGATAATAAGAGAACAAAAACAGAAAATGAACCTGATCACTAAGTGTAATGCTCAGTTGCTATAGCAGCATCATAATTTGCTTAACGGGGCAATCTCTGTTACTCACAGCCAAACAAAATTCCTAAATAATACAATCCTCCAATGACTCAGAAAAGGATTTTACCATAACAGCTTCAAAAATGTTTTCATGTATTTTTATTTTTTTAATATGAAAGGGATCTTATGATTTCAGAGCATTTCAATGTTCCTGGTGATATTTGTTGTAAACTCTGATGAACTAAATTTCAAACAGCCACAGACATTAGATCTGGGGTATACTTTTCTAAAGGGTAAACATAAACTCAGGCATTGATTAGTATATCAATCACACAGAACTTCACAAAATTCATCAAATGCATTGAAACTGACAGCTTGATGACAATAAACAGTCTGGCAAGAAGGCAGTAGAGTGAAAATGCCAGGCTATCAAGTACAGCTCAAGAGCAGTGGTCGGGCAGAAAGGGACAGGAAAATCTTTTTTTTTTTTTTTTTAATTCATACAAGAACTGGAGTGTAGACCAGAGGTGCAGGGCATAAGAGGATTCACCAGAGACACAGTAGGGAGTGGAACAGGCACTACTGAAATACACTGTTGAGGGGAGCACAGTGGGTAAGACAAGAAATGGCCAGGAATCGAACTCATACCACAGTGGCTGGCAATAGTTTAATCCCTGTGCCACAAGGGAGACCTGGATAGGAAAACCTTTTATTGAGCTGTTTTTACAGCAATACCAAGGAAAATGACACATGAAATGGAGGAAAGGTGGATGGTTGCTGTACAGAATGCTTCTACAATGTTGACTCGGGGGCACACAGTCACACTGGGGACTCTGGAGACTCAGTACTACATTTGATAATGGGGTGTACGGAATTGGCATCCAGAACAGAGGGTGCACTACTAGAGAACTGTAAGAGTATGGGAGCAGAGTGATCGTAAGTGGTTTATGTCCAAAGCTCCCAAAATAGAAGAGATGGAGCCCAAAGAGGTATCTTATCAATTAGGCTTCACCTTAAGAAACTAACAACAACAAAAAAATCAATATGTAGTACAACTCAGCAATCCCACTCTTGGACATCTATCCAAAGAACATGAACATGAAACTATGAACACAGAAAAACTACATGTTGTAATGTTTACTGAAGCACTATTTACAGCTAAGATGTGGAAGCAGACTGAATGCTCATCAGTAGACAACTGGGTCAAGAAAATGTGGTATAGCCACACTATGGAATATGGAATAATCAGCCATAAAAGAAGATGAAATACAGCCATTTACAGTAAAATGGAGAGAATTTGAGGGAATTTTGTATAATAAAGCAAGTCACAATAATACAAATACTGGACCTTTATAGAAGGAGCAATTTGACAAAGCATAATACTTATAAAGGCTATTTATGTTAATAAATGTTATGAAGGCTCTGAGGTTATGAGGTGGAAGGAAAAAGCAATCAAGAGGATAGAAGGGCTAGTGGGGTCAAGGAGAAGAATGATATCCCCCACCAAGAAAAGGAGTAAACAAACACAATTAAGATGGAAAAATGGTTCTCTTATAATAGCCAGTTATTTGGCTGATTCCTGAAATCTCACCAAGGATCCACTATGGAAAAAAAAAAGGAACTGTAGGAAAACATGGGCGCATCACTATAAATGAATCCCCATTACTAAAAAGCAACCCAGCTGCATGGTATTCTGTACATGACTAACACAAACTCATATCAGAACCAGAATAGCTATGCAGCCTAACCCAGCCCATCTTCAAATTGCAGATCAAATGAAGCACAGAGTAAGACATAGGGGATTGTGCACAGACTATAAAACTAGAGATGTCTGGTTCTTAAGTCCAGAGTTGCTGCCTTGGAGTTATTTAACCTCTCAACTTCAGTCTTCTCATCTGTAAACCAGAAACAATATTTCCTATAGGGTTTTTTTTTGAAGAACAGTGATAAAATGTCTAAAGCTTTCTTACAGAGTGAGAATATAATAGTGTTCAATAATGGTGAAAATAAAAAAAAATAACAGTAGTAAGTGGAAAAGCTGAATTATTGTGAAAACAAGAATGAAAGCTGAGAGTAATAACCATCTGATCCCCTCAAGATACTCTCTTATTTAAAATAAATAAAAATGAAACCAAACTCTCAGACCAAGCTATAGTGAAGAGATGCCCGAGTCCCCTGTCTTGGCAACTGTGTCTATCTTAAACACAAAAGATACAAGCTGGATCATCCATGTCTGGTTCAGCTGTGTCGAAAAACGGGTGGGTGCTCAGGAGCTCTGGCACCAGGGGAAGCACCAGTGTTGGATGCCGGCTTCCCAGAAACTTCAAGCATCTGAAACATACAAAATGGGAACTCACTTCAGTAAGTTAACACGTATTTTAAAAGTACAGGGAATTAGAACTGAGAAATCTGATATCCTAAACTTTTGCTACTTATATGGCTTCAGATAAGTTATCTAGTTATCCTAGAACTCTGTTAATTCATGTAAAAATTGTTACTACAGGGACCTCCCTGGTGGCGTAGCGGGTTAAAGCACTGCACTGAGAATCTAAAGCTGCTTCCGCATGAGTTCGATCCCCGCCTGCCCCGGAGGTGACCACATGGTGTGGCAGACCTCTCCTGACCCGCCCGCTGCTCCCCTCAGCGGTGTACTTCGTTGATCTGCCTGTTCTGCTCCCAACTCTGCCTCTGGTGAAGCCTCTCACCGCCCCTGAGCCTCTGGCCTGTACCCCAGTTCTGCATGTACAAATAAATAAATCTTTAAAAAAAAAAATTGTTACTACAAAGATAAAAGAGCTGGCTTGGCAGACATTACTTGTCACTTAACCAAGAGTCATTTCCCCCATTTTCTTTGCCAAGAGAGCTTTGTTTTACTCAGGTACTAGGCAAGCAGCGGAGTGCGCAGAGGAGGTAGGTCTAACCCACAGGGCTGAGCCACAATTTGCATAAGCCCATCATGGCAATCTCATCCTTTTTTCCAGCATCTACTTTGCAGGTAATAAGGATCCCAGTGCTGGCCAGTGAGGAAGTTTACTGGAATGCTTCTCAGGAATTTTTTTTTTTAACTAAATAAAAAGATAAACGCAGCAGAGGTAATGCCCTTAGATACTCTGTTATGCGGCAACCATCCTGCAAGCGTGAGGACAAGACCAAGAGAAGAGCAGAGAAATTCACCAGAATCCTAACCCTTTTAAACTAACTGTTGGACCAAGCCTGAAACCAACTTTCTGATTTCCTACTAGGCGAAAAAAAAAAAAAATGAACTTGCTTTAAAAAAAATGACCACTTTTGAACAGATTCTCTGTTATTTGTAGGCAAAACAGGGTTTAAAACCATTACCTCATATAGATGCTATAAAGATTAAATGAGATAATTAATGAAAAGTACTTAGTGAGGTATCTGTTACATATTAAGAACTCAGTTACTTGTTAGTTAGCTATTATTAATTGCTATTAGTTAATTATTATGACTACAGAAGGCCCTTTATGGGCTAAAAGAAATATACAAGAGCTGGTCGTAATGTGTTTCTATTATTTTTTATTTACTAAGCAATGGTTTAGAAGGTTTAATGAATTAAAAATAAAGTAAACCTTAATTTCTGTTCTCACTGAATTTAGAACCTATATTCAGGTTGGTTAGGATGACTAATATTTGAAGATAATTAGCTATCAAGTGGGTGGTACTCTACTTTCTACCTGTAGAAGTGATGACTATGAGCAGAGAAAACTTCACAAAAGAAATGGAACCTCATCAGGGAACTGCAGAATAGGCAGAATGGCAAAAAACGAGGAATAAAATGCTATGAACAAATTCACCAATATATGAGATATAAGAGGTTATTGCACTTAACCATACTTGATCTTATTAGGAAATATAGTTTTCCCTAGTCCTGTTTATCTTCTAGTGAAAAGAACTTAATTCACTAATTTTCTGATCTGTCTGCCCTTGAATTCACTGTTCCTCAGAGAATATTATTATGGCTGTGGCTGGGCTTGAAGGTGCTCCTTCTTTATCTCAGTCTATTCAGGTGTCAGCTGGGCAATACTAGTGCTATTAAGTGGGTCCTCAATGCCTCTGGGTGTCTCCAAAGCTAGACTTCAACTGTAACTTGTAATATTATTTATTCACTTAGCTACCACCACACCTGAAGATACCCTCCGTATACCCTCTTTCTTTTCTCCCTACTCTTTGAGGTCTAAGTCTCCAAGAGGAATGCATTTTTAAATCTCCAAGCAATGAAGAGTGGTTGGGTTGTTAACAAGAACTCAATAAGCATTTGTTGAACAAACAAAACAAACTACCTCCTCCTTCAGAGCTTTCATTTATACATCAATATTTAGCAACATTTTTAAAAGTTGCCACTGTGACTATTCACTATTTTATCATTTTCTTTTTGATATTTCTAAATAAACCTACCATTCATGGGGGATGAAAAATAACATGAAGTAATTAGAATAATGACTTGAAAGTCTTTTGGAGCACTGAAACTACCAAAAAATCACTGTCTTATACAATATTTATATAATATTCTGGGTGAACCAAATAGCCACAAATCTTTTTTTTTAAATAATGTAAGTTTATTTTTACATCAATTTATGCATTTTTCCATCTCTGTTGTAATGCCTGTGGGCTTCCCATCACCAAATCACCCGTGTGTCATCACCATAGTTCTCTTCCCTCCCCCCACCATTTTTGATCCCATTTCCCACTCCACGGCCGTAACATGTCTCTGGTATATATAGCTGTTCATTATTATTATTATTTTCTCGCCTGGTCCTTTATACTCCTACTATGAGTGAAACCATCCAGTATCTTTCCTTTTCTTTCTGGCTTATTTCACTCAGCATGATCTTTTCCAGCTCCATCCATGTTGCTGCAAAAGGCAAGTGTGTTTTTTTTATTGCTGAGTAATATTCCATTGCATATATGTACTACATCTTTTTAATCCAGTCGTCTACTTCTGGGCATTTGGGTTGTTTACAGGTCTTTCCAATTGTGAATAAAGCAGCATTAAACATGGGGGTGCAGGTGTCTTTTTGAATCAGTGTTTTTGTGTCTTTTGGGTAGATGCCTAGGAGTGGGATTGCTGGGTTATATGGAAGCTCCATTTTTAGCAGTTGCCACAAACCTTATTTTAAGGCTAAAACAATGTTTTGCAAAATATTCCCTAACAATCCTTTCATGGAGCAGAATTAATCATTTCTTTTGTGTCTCGGAGAACTATCATTACTGAGAAAGGTAATTTATCCCTACAACTCCACACCCCAAATGACTGGGTGCTCCTGAAGACAAGCAACATATGAACACTGAATTGGGCTGAACTGACTGAACAAAGAAATGGCAAAACTTTTAGAAACCCAGATATCAAAAATGTTATTTAGGTTAAGACTTCCTGATATTTTTAGTTTTTATTTCTATTTTTTATTAACCTCTTTATTTAATTTTGCCTCTTAATCAGATCTTTATTCAAATTTAGGTACCTGAAACGATTTGCCCTTTATATAAACAAATTTGAGATTATGCAACAGTCTTCTGTGGTGGTTTTCTTCTTTTTTAAAAAATTTATTTATTTATGCGTACCAGAGCTGGGGTTTAGCTCTGGTGCAGGGGATGAGAGGATTCACCTGAGACAGTGGGACACAGAACAGGCAGATTAACTGAAATACACTGCTGAGGGGAGTAGCGGGCGAGACAGGAGAGTGGTGTGCTATGTGGGACACTGGCCAGGGATCGAACTCATACTGCAGTGGCTGTAGATAGCTTGATGAAGGAGTCTTCAACCCCTTTTCCATCAGGGAGGACCCTGTGGTGGTTCTCTTTTATGAGGGCTTCTTTTCAGCTGCTGGTTCCTTGGTAGTTGCAGCATTTTTTTTCCTGCCAAAGGCTATTTTGGTGGCTATTCACCCAGCCTTCTTTCCTTTCCTGCCCCCCACAGGCTTCTTGCCTGGGAACCCATTTTCATCTCATCTGGCGTCTATGCTGCTGCCCCAATCATTCTATCCATCCAGAGTTTGTGATTCTGAGCATGCTGAAGAATGGTATTCTGGCACATGGTCTTTGCATACAGAAAAAAATGTCAACAAGATTCTCAGGTTCTTCAGTGATTCATCTTCAGGACTCTGAGATGAATCTTCTTGTGTGGTGATTGGAGGACACTTTGAATTTCTAGACTTTTCAAAATGCTTCTAAGATCTGAACTGAGGATTTTGTGCATGGGAAAGGTGTGGTTATTCTTGAGGGAGGTAACTTTCCATCAAGTGCAATACAGATCATCTTTCAGAAAACACTTTCAGCCCAAATGCATACATGCCCCCACATGGCTACCAGGAGCAAGTCTCAGAATATTCAGTTTGCTTGCATTAAACAAAGTAATTCCAGGGCTGTTTCTGAAGGCCTGATAATACCACTGTCCTTATTATAGATGACACAGGGTCCCCTGAGATGGATATGATGACGGTTTCCCATTTTGCCCTGGCCAGCTCTCGTCCACTGAGAGGCATAAACCTTCTGGATATCATTTCAGGTCCTAAGTTGGTTGTGTTTTTGTTTTGTTTTGTTTTTTTCATATTAGCTTTTGAGGACACTTTTTTTTTGCGGGGGTGGCATAGAAGAACTAGGGTATAGGCCAGAAGTGTAGGTAGTGAGAAGATCTGCCAGAGACAGAGAGCAGAACAGGGGGGTTTATTGAAATACATTGCCAAGGGGAGCAATGTGTGTGACAGGAGAGGTCAGCTATGCCATGTGGATTAGCTCCTGGCTGGGGATCAAACTCAGGCTACAGTGGTGATAGCACTGAGGCTTAACCCCTAGGCCACTAGGGAGGTCCCAAGGACCTAAGTTTCTTAAGAAGCAAAACAGCTTCCTTGTTTTCCAGTAACCTTCAACTTTATCTTCAACCACCAGTGGGAGTTCAGTAACTTCCTCTATATGATAACCTTTAGACACAGCCAGTGCTATTAAAGCTGAGGCAGCCAGAGCAGAACAAATGGCATACCACTTCTGTGTTGCCAATAGTGCCAGGTTTTGATTGGTGCAAGAATGCAATCCCCTTGACACACATTTCCAAAGTTCGCTGGCCAGATGCTGAGTCCCACTCTGGGAATTTGGGCTGTAGCTCTGCCCAGTACTCTAAGATTCAGTACTAGTTTGATGACCTTCTAGCCCACTGACAGCATAAGGCTGTCTGTTTTTTTGGCAAGTTACTATGTACAAAGTTAAGAATATCAGGTCAAGTGGGAGCCTTGAACACAGCAGGCAAAGTGACATTTTTGCCAGATGACGTCCCTTTTGAGTATACAGATATCAGCAGACAAGCACATGCCATAGTGGGAAGAGGAGAAGACCAGACTCTACTTTAGTTTTTAAAATATCTCCCAAGTACATAATTAACCCACAGTTTTTCTATTTTTAGTAACCAACAATTTTTTTGAAAATCATTAAACTATGCTGATATGATTGTATCACACAAGCTCATTTAAATTTGTGGAGCACATTTGAAATGTATGCAATTAGTTCTTCTAACAGTGATTCATGAAAATAGTGTTAACCGTCTTAGCCCAGTCAGTAAAGTTAAAGGGAAAATGGTTGTGATTTTCCATCTGGAGACCAAGTGGCAGACCTACTTCAAATCTCTATTGATGGTTATGATCCTGTATATGAGGCAAAACAGACAATGGAGTGACTAGTACTATATAGGAGAAAACGGACTTTACTCTGTATCAACACTTAGCATAGGGCTTGGCATATAGTGAGTAAACAATAGGCAAATAATATTTGCTAGGTAGATGAATAAACAAAGGAATAAATAACCTAAAATATGATATTCAATTTAAGAATCCTGAGAGTTTGGTTGAGTTAGGTTTTGAAACTGAAGACTAATCGAGGGCTATTTCTTTAATCTATGATGCTCCATTAAATAAAGTCAACACTATACATTCACATTATTATTGGACTTGATGCGCAAATGAGCAAAAAATTCCTTACTTCCAGATGGAGTCCCTATCAGTAGGGTACTTGTTTAAATTTTTTAGCAGCTCCACCAGTGCAAGATGAATCCCTTCTTTGGTTGAGACATTAGTGCAGCATAATAGTTCATGAAGAGCCTCTCTAATATCTCTGGATGAATCCTAAAAAAAAAAAAAAAAGGTAATAACAATAGCAGCAGTCACTGTTGATAGCCATATGGGAGTGCATAAAATACAACAGGACTATAGGGTAAAGAGTTCCTCCAAATTGGGGGTGGGAAGTGCTGATAGATAAAAAGACATCACAGAGAAGTGACATTTCAATTGAGACTGGGAGCATTCATTCATTTGTTTATTTATTTATACATCCAATATTTAGTGAACACTTACTAAACAGCCAAATATTTATTAAACGTCAAGTATGATTAGATGCACAGTACATAGGGACATGGAATAATTAAAATCTCTGTACCCAGGAGCTTCATTCTAAAGTAAAATCTAAATGCACAATAGACAGGGATAAGTACTACAGAGAAAACAAAGCCGGTTAAATGAAAGTTCCTAGAACAGATGAGGTATTTTACACAGGATAAACAGAGGGAAAAGCAAAGGAAATAGTCTTGAGGTAGAAATATGCTTGGAAAAAAGCAAGGAAGCCAGTGACACTAGATCAGACAAAAAGAGATGTCAGAGAAGTAGCCTCCTCCTTCCACAGCACCTACTGCTTGATCTCATGAAAATGACTAAAAAAGGTGACCAACAACTTCTTAATGTTAAAATAAATAGATAAATCAGCCCTGATTTTATTTAATATCTGTTTTTTTTTAAATTTAAATATAGACAATCTGAAACACATATAAAAGTAGAGATAACACGTGTTCCTAGTATCAACAGTTAGTGCACTCATAGGCAATCTTGTTTCATCTACACCCTTATCCACTCCTCCCGGGTTCTACTATTTTTATTACTATTATTGTGAAGACATTCAGAGAAACCACAAAATTTTGTTGGCAAATATTTCCATAAATATCTTCTAGAAAAAAAATTAAGATCCACAAATTTCACCTGGGAAATAAGTATCTTTTAGTAAGTAAAATTCCTTCACATCTCACTTTCTTTCCCTTGCCATTTCTCTCTCATAATCCTATGGTGGTGGTTAGATTTACAGGCTGGGTCAGATTCAGATATAATTTTGTTTAATAAGGACATTTCATAGATGGCGTGTGTACTTCAGAGACTTACATGTTATCTGTCTTTTTCTGTGAAGTAATAACCATTGATGATCACTGCCTAGCTCTAGCAATTCATTTAGGTCATAAAGCAATGAAGTTCTAATTCTATCATTCCTCTTTATTTATTAACTGGGGATTTATAAAGAGAAATCTCTGCATATCAACTGGGTGGTTATCCTGAAGATCAGTTTGTATTTATCAATTTTCAGAATGAATTGTTACTAAGCATCTTCCAAAGATGACTATTGCAGTGTTTTGTTTTTCAACTATCACTAGGAAATCATGAATCTAAACACATATGCATTCATAATCCTTTATGATGTGCTCCATGTTTGACTAGTGAGAGGCTATTTGAGTTGTCTCCTGGATCTTTTTAAATATAACCCAAGAGGTCTTTGATAACATTTGCTTTTCGACAAGATGATACAAGCTCATCTTGTGACATTTCCTGCATCAGATATGTTGGCTATCTGACATTTTTCTCAGGAATTTTGGTTCCTTTAGTAGGAGATAGGGTTTCCAAAGCATTTTTTTAAGTTAAGTTTACTGATAGGTAATTTACATTCTGTAAAAGTCATCCTTTTAGTGTATTACTTATGAGTTTAACAAATGCATATTGTTATGTAACCATCATCACAATCAAAAGATACAGAACCCTTCCATCACCAAACACTTCCCAAGTGTCCCTTTATAGTCTACTCCTCACCCCTAGCCTCTGGCAATATAGTTCTCTTTTTTCCAAAATGTCCAAAAAGTCCAAAATGGACTAATAGAATATGCTTCTTATTCGGTCGGTATTTTCACTCAGCAGAATGTATTTGAGATTCATCCACATTATTAGGTGATTCAGTTCATTTCTTTTTATTACTGAATAAACTTTTGTTTCATTGTAGAGATGTAACAGTTTGTTTATCCATTTGCCAAATGAAGGATTTTGTGTTGTTTCCAGTTTGGGGTTATAATACAATCACAATAAACATTGCATACAGGCTTATCTGTAAACATAAATTTTCAATTCTCTTCAGTAAATACTTCAGAGTGGGATTATGCATTTTTTCAAATAATATAATAGTTTATTTTTACATCATTTTGTGCCTTTTTCCATCTCAGTTGTAGTCCCTGTAGGCTTCCTATCACCAAATCACCCGTGTGCCATGGAATTATACTTTTTAAGTACACAGTTCTATGGCATTAAGTACATCCTCACTGTTGTACTACCATTATAATTTGTTACAAATGTCCTTTTGAAGGGTTTTATAATTTATCTAGTTATTTCTTTAGTTAAATTTGTGTCAAATATAAGCAACCTTAATGTCCAATCCAAGATCACAACTATCTTGACCTAAAGTTTAACTTTACAGAAAAATTAAGCACTTTATAGGACACAGTGACATCCACACAGCAAATTCTAAGAATCAGCGGATTCATTTTTTTTATCCTCTAGGTACCCTCTTTCATCCTGCAGTTTTCTCATTTTTTCAGTCTCCACAGTAAGTGGCCCCAACTTCTAAATAAACACAGCTTACTTGACATGTCATTCCCCTGTTCAGGTACCTGTGTGGCTTCCCACCTCCTCAAGGATTAAACTCAGGCACCACAGTAGGGCATACAAGGTTCTTCAAAATAAATTTCAACCCCTGCCCTTTGTAGTCATGGGAACTCAAGGTTCCCATCCAGGCTGTCTCAAGTCAGCCTTCCAGCCTTTACCTGTGGCCACACAATTCCCTCTGGCTGGAATGCCATTCCTTACTTTATGTTTGATACCATCTTGTGTTATTGCAATTACTCAAATTTATACTGCTGCCTTTCCCATAAAATTGTGAGCAGCTCAAAAGGCAAAAATTGAGTATATTGAGAAGTGCCTCTTTGACATCCTCAAAACCTCAGAATCTTAAGATAATCCTATAGAACCTGGCTCAGCAAAGATTAATAAATGTTTCTTGAATGACTTCTTCCATTTAGTTAATTTGATATTACAAAAACGCTGCTATATGAATGCTTTCTTTTAGCCAAGCAACACACTGAGCACAAATGAATTTTCTCATTAAACATATAGCATATAAACATATAGAACTCGCCTCCTCTATAGATGTGAACATCCTAAATAATTTGTCTAATTTGTACTAGTAATTTGCCTAATTTGTCCTTTAATAGGATTGTGCTAAAACCCTTTAATAGCTTTCAGGTGCTCTTATTATTTTTTAAAAGGATTTAGTTATTGATGCATACAAGAGCTGAGGTGTAGGCTAGAGGTGCAGGGGTTGAGAGTACGTACCAGAGACAGAGTGGGGAACAGAAGAGGCAGATTCACAGAAATACACTGCTGAGGGGAGCAGCGGGTGAGACAGGAGAAGTCTGCTGCACTATGTGGATCAGCTCCCTGGCTGGGGATCAAACTCCTACTGCAGTGGCTGCCTATAGTTTTAAGCGCTGAGATAGGGAGGCCCCAGGTACTCTTCCTTAATAAAACTGTTAGGGCTCTGTGTGAGATGTGCTCCCAGCATTCCCTCCCCACCTCTCAACCTTCATTCTAATCTTATACCAACCCCAGCTCTTTGTTAGAGCCAGTCTGCTTTTGATCCCTTTGTGCAATGTTTTCCCCACCAAAGTTTCTACTGATTGACTAAAACACACTGCTGAAGGAAGCAGCAGGCAAAATAGGAGAGGTCTGCTGTGCCATGTGGGTCAGCAACCTGGCTGGGGGTGGGGCTCAGGCTGAAGTGGTGATAGTGCTGAGACTTAACCCCAAGGCCACCAGGGAGACCCTGGTTTTGTTCTTCTTAAGTAGGCTTTTTTTTTTTTTAATATTCATACAGAACTGGGGTACAGGCCAGAGATGCGGAGGGTGATAGGATTCACCAGAGACAGAACGGGGAGCAGAACAGGCAGATCGACGAAGCACACTGCTGAGGGGAGCAGCGGGCGGGTCAGGAGAGGTCTGCACACCATGTGGTCACCTCCGGGGCAGGCGGGGATCGAACTCATGCGGAAGTGGCTTTAGCTTCCCAGTGCAGTGCTTTAATCGGCTGCGCCACCAGGGAGGGCCAACAGGGTTTTTTTTTTAAGGTTTATTTATGCATACAAGAACTGGAGTACAGGCCCAGAGCTGTAGGATTTACCAGAAACAGAGTAGGGAACAGAACAGGCAGCAGATTAACTGAAATACACTGCTGAAAGGAGCAGCAGGTTGGCCAGGAGAGGTCTGCCATGCCATGTGGGTCACCTCCCTGGCCGGGGATCGAATTGGTGCTGCAGAGGCTTTGGACAGTTTCGTAGTGCTGAGCTTTAACCCCTTGTGCCACTAGGGAGGGCTCTCTTAAATAGGCTTTTTACTGAAATAGATATGCTGAAAGTATACAAATACTATTTTGCTCGATAAATTTTCACAAATTGAACAAACTTATGTAATTGATATTCAAAGCAGAACATCAGACTACTTGCCAGTACCCCAGAAATCTACCTAACCTGAGGCCCATGGTTTTTGCTCACCACTGTACCCCTTTAACATTGCACTTGGTGCATAATAGGTACTCAAAACATATTAAATTTAAAAAGAAAAAAAGGAAAAAGGAAGGAAGGAAGGACAAGTTGCTTTAGATGTGTCTGGCTCTACATGCTGCAAACTTAACCACAGATAAAATACTTCCCATCTGAACAAATTGCACCACTTGTAGGAGGCAATTATACTTGACGTATTGGGAAAAACTTACAAAATAATAGATAAAGCTGAAACAAGTTATAAAATGTGGGGCTGCAGCAAGGGGTTCATATGTTTGGTATATGAATAAGTTGTTCAAAAAGGAGTAAAATGTTGTCTTCTGTATAAAATCTTCTACTAGTTACCCAAATACTCAGAAAAAAATCCCAAGCAACCAGCGATGGCCTACCAGGCACTCTACCGAGAGCCTGGTAGAGCCGCAGACCTCTTCTCACACCACTTTCCTCCTTTCTGTCCACACTGGTTTATTCTGTCTGTAAGTACAACATAGGCCACCTGTGCCTCAGGGCCTTTCCACAGCTGCTGGCCCCACTGGAGACTTTTCCTCCAACCTTCGCATGGCTGACAGCTTCCCATCATTCAAGGCTCACTCACTGAACAGACTCACTGTCTATTCAGAACGAAGGCATTTACTGCGAAATTCCCAATTTCCTCCATCACTGCCCATTTCCTACACAGGATTTACCAGTATCTGAAATCATTTTGTTTACCTCTCTTCTTACTCTAGTTTCCACAACAGCAAGGAATCTGTTTCTCTTTCTCTCTTTTTTTTTTGACCAAGAAAACACTGGTTTATAGCACTGTATATAATTCAGGGGTCTGGTTCACCATACCACACTGACTACCAGAGTACCCAAAATGCCTCACCATATACCACTGGCTTTCTTCCCTCCTTTACTCCTGCTCCTACCTTCCACATCTAGTAGCCTAAATTATGCAGTCATATTTCTAGGGTTTGTTTTAGTTAGTTTTGTCAGTTCCTTTGTTTACCTGTCTGCTTTTAACACTATCACTTATTTATTTATAGATAGTGCTTGCTGAATTCAGATCACCATAACAACAACAACAAAGGCAAGTTAATGCAGGAAGGGTTAGCTAGCTAAGTCTCAAAGCAGTAAAGTACAATGACACAGTAAATAAAAGAAGCAATGAGCAGCAGGGTAGGTGAACAGTTTTAAGTTCAGAAACAATAAGTTTAGTGAAGTCTAAACTTCCCAAACAAAACTATACGTCAAGGATTTTAGATTTATGCAAAGTCTGCAGGAGTTTTATTACAAAAGCACTTACAGATAAGCCTATCGTGGTCCTGTTAATAATTCTGTACATCAAAACACAGCTCGGGACATAGCTCAGCTAATTAGAAAACATTTACTGCACATCTACTTTATGTCTGACATTGCAAAGCCCTGGGAATAAAAAAAAAATGAAAAAATGCCATGATTCTGTCTCCTTGAGAAGCTTAGAGACTTATGGAATAAAAACATAAATAATGAGAACTCACTCCAACATATGCTAGAGCAGTGTACGCACAGGGTGCTATTGGAATACAAGAAAGTGTACCAGTGTGGGTTAGGGAAAGCAGTAAAGAGGAAAAATCATGAAGCGTAGGGATGTGACTACAGTATAAAGTTCAAGGTGAGGGAAAATGGAAAAGAAAGTTAAAAAGAAATGGAGGTACTAAGTAACAGAGGCCACCCATGGGGAGTAACATACAAAATGCAACTTAGCTTCTTAGTATAAAATATATGAACAATTATACACATTTACAATTTAGGGGGAAAAGTCTTAAAAGAAGTGCTCAGCAGCAGAGAGAAGGATGGGGAGTTTCATAATCAAAGCACCCTATCTGTTTTCTGTAGTATGTAGTAGGAATCTGTTAACAAGTGTTAATGACCAGGTAACAAATTATTAACCCTTTTACAATATATGGGGGGGCACGCCAGAGGCCAAATCTCACTTAAGAGATTTTTTTGAAAAGCTTTAGTACTCCCAACCACAATCCAGACAGTTTAGAAAACTAATTCAAGAACCACATAGAGTTGTACAGCCTGGGAGCTAAATTGTGTTCCTATTCTACAACAACCACTTATTAGCTGTATGACCTTCTTTCTTGTAAAGCTCCAGAGTTGAGTGAATTGAACTAAGATTCACTAGAAGAATTAAAGCAAATCAAAGGCTGAAAAGAATTCTTTACTATGTAACCCCTACCTCACCTGCAGCCATTTCCCTCCCTCCCTCCATCTCTATAGCTCCATGCTAATATTACAATTAATTGCAATTATACAATTAATTGAAAATACCACACTCACTCTCACCACTGCTTCCTTAGAAATTGTTTTCTGTTCAGTACCCTTCCATTCTATCATCACTACCAATACCTACCTTCCTTAAAAAAAAAGGGGGAGGGGGATCTTTAAAAAGTCCTGCTTTGGGCCCTCCCTGGTGACACAGTGGGTTGAAGCACAGCAGTAAGAAGCTAAAGCCACTTCAGCAGGAGTTTGGTCCCTGGCCCTGAAGGTGACCCTCATGGTGCAGCAGAACTCTCCTGACCCCACCTGCTGCTCCCCTCAGCAGTGTACTTCGTCGATCTGCCTGTTCTGCTCCCCACTCTGTCTCTGTGAATCCTCTCACCGCTCCCTAAGCCTCTGGCCTATACCCCAGTTCTGTATGCATGAATAAATAAATCTTAAAAAAAAAAAATGTCCTGCTTCTCCTTCAAATGTCTAGTGCCTCAGTCTTTTTTCCCCATATCCCCAATCTTACTTCAGATAATTCAGGTTAATCTCTCCATATTCCCAGGGCATCGGGTGCTTCCCTGATCACGGGAATATGAAGTTTTATTTGCATATCCTATTCAGCTGTCAATCTCTTCCAAGTTGGGAGTAAGAATGCAGAACAGTGCAGCGTTACATTACTGTGTCATCAATTCCTACCACAGGCCTGGCTTTTTAAAAGTTTCATTTATTTCATGGTGCTTAGTAGGTATTTAATAGAGAAATGTGTAACAAATTATACACTCACCTCTAACACAGCCAAGACAGTGTCAAGCTGATCCTCTCGAAGGGTAATATTGTTAGAGATTTTTCTCATGGTATGTATGGATTGCAGGCGTACTTCCTCAATTTCATCATTAAACATGTCAACCAAAAAATCAAGACACTTCTCAGCAAAAGCGGGTGATGACTGGGCGAGCATACACAGAGCCTCCACAGCAGCAATGCGGACCTCTACAGAAATCGGACAAATAAAACTGCATGTCAAGTTGAGAGCAGTGGGGAAAATCCCAGACGTATGCCTTCTCACTCAAGTTTGTCTTTCACTCTCTACTCCTGTCACTCTACAAACTCTCTCTGGCACACCTCAATGCCCACAGATTCAGCTACCACTGCATGAGGACCTAAGCACAAGGACTTCGGTATCTCAGGGACTTAAGTTTAAGTCCTGATGTCACAAACATGAAATCAAGCAACACATCTGACTCCAATAGCTGAATTTCTTGAAAACTAAGTTGTCTTTCTCATACCAATATTCCAAGCACATTTGGAAACTTTTTTTTTTTTTTAAGATTTATGTATTTGTGCATCCAGAACTGGGGTACAGGCCAGAGGCTCAGGGGAGGTGAGAGGCTTCACCAGAGACAGAGTGGGGAGCAGAACAGGCAGATCGAGGAGGTACACTGCTGAGGGGAGCAGCGGGTGGGTCAGGAGAGGTCTGCCACACCATGTGGTCACCTCCGGGGCAGGCGGGAATCGAACTCATGCTGAAGTGGCTTTAGATTCTCAGTGCAGTGCTTTAACCCGCTGCGCCACCAGGGAGGGCCCTGGAAACTTTTTTTAAAAATTCAACTTTTAAGTAACTTTTAAGTAATAGTATTGGTTATTAATTTAAAACAGTAGGTTAAATTATTTGGTCAAATTATTTTCAATTTAGAAATAAGAATCACCAAAATAAATTAACTTGCCTCAATGTGAATGAGCAGAGATAAGACAAGTGTCCAGGTTGGCCAATTTTAGATGCGGATTAGGGTACATGCTCTGGAATGAGAGGTCTCATAGTGAACTGAGGAGGATAAATCCTCCACAAACTTGAAAGGTGATATTGAATAAGTGACTTAACTTCCTAACACCTCAATTTTCTCACCTGTTCAATCAAGATAATCCTGATTTCTTTACAGATTTGTTAGGATGAGGAAATGAAATAATGTAGGTAAAGCACATATGTCTGGCATATGTTAAAAGCTCAGTAAAAAGTAGCTATGGCAGAGGTATCAGCCTTTTAAAACCTTGGGAACAGCTAGGTTTTCTGTCTCTCTTCATGCTCAGAAGATGTAACAATATCGTCACTGATGTCGGGAGTTCATGTACTAACACTCATTTCCTTTGTTCATTCACTAATGTTTCCTGAACATACACTATGGGCCAGGCCTAGCGCTAAGTGCTGGGATACAAAGATGCCTATAACTTTACAGGCAGTGTTCAAAGACTTTCATACCCGCACATTTTGTTCCAGTGATTCCCACATTGTCTGAAACAAAATGTACAGTTTCAAAGAAAAAAAGCACTCAAGTTATGTTAAAACTCCAAGAATATAATTTGTTTTTTTGTAAAAGAAAGGTTTTATAGACAGTTTAATAGCAGAGTCTCTACATTAAAGAGAGATTCAGACAAATGACTCAGATTTTTTTTGGCAGTTATAAATTACTCCTTTTCATCAGAAGGAAAAGGATTTTCTCTATTTCACCAAATGTAATTTAAATATGAAATTCCTAGTAATTACAAAGCAGGTAGACCCAAGTGAGTTAGCTAACTGGCTCTTCCTAGAGCTTTCTCCATTACACGTCATTGACTCATGTGTAACTCTTACAAGTCTATCAAGGGATTCACAGATGAACTTCTGGTAGGCATGAAATAATCAGTATGACCTGAGCTAATATCATTCTAAGAAAAAGCAAAGAAAACCTGATAATTTTAATATACAGCCTAGGTACAATTTCTTCTGGACATGCTGGAATGCTGAAAATTTGTTAGTCTCCTTAAGGATTCAGAGCAAGGAAAAGGAATTGGGTATGCTAGAACATGAAAAAAAAAGGGAAACCGACCCTCTGGTATCTTTTTTTTTTTTTTTAAAGATTTATTTATTTGTGCATACAGAACTGGGGTACAGACCAGAGGCTCAAGGGCAGTGAGAAGCTTCACCAGAGACAGAGTGGGGAGCACTCTGGGCAGATCAATAAAGTACACTGCTGAGGGGAGCAGTGGGAGGGTCAGGAGAGGTCTGCCGCGCCATGTGGTCACCTCTGGGACAGGCGGGAATCGAACTCATCTGGAAGTGGCTTTGGCTTTTCAATGCTGTGCTTTAACCCGCTGCGCCACCAGGGAGGGCCTGGTATCTTAATACATGTAATCAGATTCTGATTTTGCCATTACTAGCATTGTGCTTAGTACTAAGACTACAAAGATGGAAGAACAGGGCTGTCTCTCACATCTATGAACAAGAAAAAGCACAGGGAGCGGAAGAAAAGGACCTTTATTGGTGGCACAAGGGTTTAAGCCTCAGTTCTATAAAGCTATCCACAGTCACTGCAACACAAGTTTGATCCCTGGCCAGGGAATTGATCCACATGGTGCAGCAGACCTCTCCTGTCTTACTTGCTGCTCCCCTCAGCAGTATATTTCAGTGGAGTCTGTTTCAATAATGAAAAAAAATAATAATAATAAGCCCTAGACTAAAGTTGAGATTCTGCCCCCAAAATTTGCAAATGTATGTCCTAAACTAACCACTTCCTAGCATAAAGCCCAATATTTGTTTTAATAGGAATACGACAATGCTCAGTAACTGATAAAGTAAAAAACTACAATGCCTGACAGCCAATAGAAAGTAACTAAGAATACACAGAAGCAAGAAAATATAATCCATAATGAAGAGAAAAATCAATCGTTCAGAAATTGCACAAAGGAGACCTCTAAACAAGTATACTAAAATAATTATTATAAATGCATGCTCCGTGATAGAGGAAGAGAAAAAAATTAATAAGTATGCTAAGTATAGGAGTGGAAGATTTTAGGTAGACACAAATTCTAATCAAATTTTTTGGAATGAAAACTACAACATGAGATGAAGAATACACTAGGTGGGATTAATAAGGATTAGAAATAGCAGAAGAAAAATTTAGTGAATTTGAAGACAAAGCAATAGAATTACCCAAAATGTGAAACAAGGAGAAAAGAAGACTGGAGAGAATCAATAAAGCATCAATACTGCAGTACGGCCTTAGAAAGTCTAATATACATGTAACTGGAGTAATCAAAGGAAAATGGAAGTAGAAAAATATTTAAAGAAATAATGACCAAAGTTTTTCCAAATTTGATAAAATCTATAAACTCACAGATCCAAAAAGATCATTAAGAAACATGAACATAATGACACCAAGACATATAATTATATCAATTAAAATCACTGATAAAGGGAAAATCAGCTAGAAGGGGGAAAAAAGACACAGATATATAGAAGAAAAAACAGAAATGACAAGAGTTGTAAACAGAAACCATGCAAACCAGAGAAATGTAGAAAATCTTTAAAAGAATTAAAAAGACCTCACTGATATAATTCTATTCCTGTGACAATAAAAGTTTTTACTAGTTACACAACAGCTTTGATGTTAGAGATACCCAGGTTTCAGTCTTGCTTCTGACTCTTATAAATTGGGTGACTAATAACAAGTTATTACCATTATCAATAAAATCAACTTTTAGTACCAATTTATTAGGTGTTTAGCATTTTATCTATACATAGCTCAATTAATTATCACAATTCAAAAGTATTTACTATTAACTTTTCTTTACAAAAATAGTAGAATTTGAGCCCAGATTCACTAAACCCAAAATTCATGCTTTAGTTCACTATCTCTTAATAGCTGAGCCTCAGTGTCTCCTGTTTATACAACTAAAACAATAGTAGGTAGTTACAGAATGATTGTAAGCATCAAATGAGATAATGAGCGCAGATCACACAGTGCAATGCCTGACACAAAGCAGTCATTCACTTAGATGGTTACGCTTACACTTATGCAGTCATACTTACCATACATTTCATCTTCCAATCCATGAACAAAGGCTCCACAAGCTCCTGACTCGATCAAGTTCACAGCTCCGGTATCTACTTCTTCCTTGGGAGCATCATCTCCCCACTTCCTACCACTGGAAAACTCCCCTGAACTGTAAAGTTCCTTTGCACGCTCATGTGCAGTGCGTTTTCTCTGTAGAAGACAACAATTACCACATGCAAGAAGTTCATGAAGGAACAGTAAGGTGCACCCAAGAACTAGTAAACGTAAGAAATAAAACTGTTCTCTGGTAGTTAAAAGTTTTTTTAGAAATGCTCAGTAGGTCAGAGACATGCAAATTAAACTTAAAGAAGAGTCATAGGACTATGTGAGTAACCTTTTTAAAGAGGATGAAGGGAGCAAAAGCCTGTTGATCAGATAAGTTGTTGTGTTTGCCATGGCAGCACAGGAAAAGAAGACCCAAAGAGGTAAAATAATGTCAGTGACCCCTCCAAACACCATCCTGGGTTGGTTCTAGAAAATAATTTTGTTCAATTCCAGTAGAAGTTTCTATTTCTCAGTACAGTGCTCACCAAGTAACAGATGACCTCAGTTCATTGTTGGTTGGCTAAAATAAATATAGAGTCTACATGACAGTTTAGGTTCTCATCAAAAAAATCAAAGAACCATCATTCTGCTGTATACATCAGCCTCATATCTTTTTGAAGTGACACTATAACCTCTTGTTTGAGCATCTCAAAGACACTGATGAAATATAATATAGCAACTTAGCCTATGATGATGTGAATCAGATCCAATAATAAAGTCTGTACCTTGTTACCTCTTAGAAACACTTGCATTACCCAGCGCTCACCATTCATCATGAACATGTATACTTCCACCCAGTTCACACAAAGAACAATCACCACTCTTAAATGATAGCAATGCCTGTCAGAGTAACCCTGTGGCAACATTTCAAGAAGCACATAAACTTCTCAACCATTCCAAAGAATTTACCTGATAGACTAGTTCCAAAGAAAAGATCTAATATGCACAAAGATGATGATACACTTTAGACTTAAAAGTCATGGACAAGTGTGAGAATCTAAATATATAATAAAAGGCTATAAAATATGGCATATCTACTAGGCCATGTCATCATTAAAAATGTTTAGTATGAAGCTGCAGTATGAGAAGAAAGCATAGTTAATGGGCAAATGTAAAGCAAACTATAAAATTATCTATATGCAATGACTCAACTTTTAAAACTCACATAATAAGAAAGGCTCGGGAGAAAGAAACCAGAATGACAAAACTGTTATGTAAGTTGTATGGGGCTAGATGAATTCTCTACTTTTTCTATTTATCCAAAATTCTGAACTTTTTTTCCCCCTGCATTTTAAAAGGCCAGGTTTATTAGGAAAAGGAGAAAGGAAAAGAGAGACACCTGCATAGACAGAGGCAGGCAGAGAGCTGCTGCTGCTACTCTGAGAAACGAAAGGTTTGTGAGAATAGTGCCTGCATTGTCACAGGCAGATAGGAGGGCTCCTCAAAATTCTAAACTTTTATTATAATTTTTACAATTCAAAAATTGGCATATTGACAATAAATGTACCTATGATGTTCTCAAACTTATATTGTAGTTGATCCTGACAATTATGTCAAAGAACTATCACAGGCAAAGCTTAAGGAGTTCCACAGGAGGCCCTTTGCTACAGTTCAAAGAAATACTCTCTCTTCCATTGGAACTGATGTTGAAAAGTAGTCTCTTATAAGATAGTCCTCATTAGCTCACAAAATTAAGATCAAACCTTTGTAGATCTAATAAAGAGAAAATTAATCTTGCCTCTTCTTTGTAAAACACAACCTAAGCAAATTATTTCATTATAATAAAGTTTAATGAAATCTTGCAATTTGGTCCAAGTTATTAAGACTTTAAGTTAAAATGTAATTTAGTCACTGTACATTAATTTAACAAATGCATGGTAAATCAACACAACTCGGCATACATTGATTTTGGTAACAGAAGCAGAGTTTAAACAACAAAGAATTCAAGTTACCCTTAGGTCTGACATCAGCTTCTTGTCTAGTGTCTGCTCCAAGAAATGAGAACTGACTTGCTCCATAGAGCCCTATAAAAAGAGAGAAGACAGAGCAAATTAAACACCTTTAAGATCTAAACAATGTCTTAAAATTCAAAGTTTGCAGCCAATTTAAATGCATTAAGATAACACTATACTTGATGGTAGAGGTGTTTACTGATTCTGAATGATCAGGAAAAGGATGAAAACATTAACAGCAGCAGCTGTTAATTGTTATACAAAATAAAATGCACTCTGCCTCTTACTAATCAGAAGTAGAGCTCACTGTGCATCATGCACTGATGTAAGTGCTTTACATAAATATTTACTTGCTCATCTTCTTCAGAACACTAATATTAGTCCCATTTTATATGTACAGAGAGAAAAACACAGCAAAAAATTAACTTATTTAAGGTCACAAAAGAAAACTAGAGAGCTAGGGTATAAATCTGGGTTCTAGAACCCTTTGTTATCTTAATCATTACTCTCATTATATAGCTCATCATTTCTTCTTCCTTTCCTATCATTCCATTTCTTCCATTTATTTTGTCCATCTGTCTATCCATCCATTCATGAACCCATCCAATTAAAAAAAATTAGTAACCACTCAATTATATCCTTATATGACCAGGAACAGGAATACAAAATTTAAGACATCAATTCTACACTCAATTATCTTGAAGACTGGTGAGGGGAAATGACAAGTAATGAGATAATTGTAGTAAGGCATGAAATGTTATAATACACACATATCAAGGAGGCTATATAAACTCAGACAACAAGCAGTAAGGGGTGGAGGCAGGGAGAGGTATACTTGTGGAATTGGAAATCACAAACACAGAAGCTTTGAGAGAGAACGGCCATGTGGGGAACAAGAGGAGGTTCTATAAATAACACAGGATGGAGAGTCCTGAAAAGGAGTCAGGGCCATTGGCAGTGATGAGATCAGAGTCTTGTTTGCCATGGTAAGGAGTTTACCCTATGAATAATAACTAGAAAATCTTTATTCAACACTTATTGAGTTCAATAGTGAACAAAATATTAAAATTTTAATTGTATTCCTCTCGATAATCCCATGAAAAACACTATTATCCCCTCTTTTTGGATGAGAAATTGAGAACAAGAGTTTTTTCCTATAAAAATGTAAGTTTAATATCTTCACAGTAAATTAATTCCATAGTCCCAGGGCTTTTTAGCCAAGTTCAACATAGCACACAGGGGGATTACTATTCAAACTCAGACCTCAAAAAGCATCATTATTTGTAAAAATTTTCAGTGCTATTGAATAATAACTTAAGCTTTCCATTAAATCTACAAGTACCAAGAACCTTAGGGCAGAGTAATCCACTTGAAAATGTTGAGTCCCAAACCAGGTAAGACTCACTGAAAACAAAAATGGAATAGTTTGAAGGGGTGTTAACAAAGTAGAATTAATTGGAAGTGGACTTCAGGAAAGAATTCCCAAGTGGCTCAGGATTCATAGTTAGGCAGATGATGACATCATTCATGAAAACTCAGGAAGAACAGATGTGGATTAAAAAGATAATGAATCTTACTAGTCAGAAAGACATCTACATTCTTGTCTACTTTAATTAAAATAAATACATGCAGTAAGATTTCATCCAATGTACTACTACCACTATTCAACCTATATTTATAACACTAAAAAAAGGTCAGATTTAATTGTGTCAAATCTGCTTTCAGATCTAAGGCTGCTGAATTAGTAAATACCATAAGTTTGTACACTCTTTGTTTATTTCAATATTAAAGATCTTTCCTTTACCCAATTAGGTGATAAAAAAGGAAACAGACAAAAAATTAAAACAAAACATGGATTACTATGTGAGACATAAAACCACAGCAGACTAGAACATTTACATTTGTCCCAGGAAAGACTAGTCCTCAGAAAACTTAGGCAAAACAGCACAATCTGTCTGAAAATGACATACATTTTAAGTTCAAAGTTTTTCGGAGGCTTATAAGTAAAAGTTTAAACATTATTGAATAAGAGAAATTAAACACTTTATGAAGAACTCATGAAACTAAGGGCCATCTTCTAAAGAGAATGCCAATTTCCATGCTTAATTTCAAAGTAGTGACTGTATTCTAAACAGTCCCATTGAGCTGCCTACTTGGAAATCAAATTCCTTAGTCCCTTTGATGCAGTTAAAGATAACTAAAAACTGTGGCTGTACATGGTTTTGAATTTTCTGGTATAGGTCACATCTGAAACTTTTCATCCTATCATATAAACCAAGGAGACAATTGTGTTTGTGTACAAGATGGACTTAAATCTTAACCCTCACTCTGCCAGTGTTGATGAGATTGTTGGCAGAATACTTCTGATTGACTACTGAACACAGATCCAGTGATAGCCCTAGTCCTATACTAAACCCATGGCTGCTAAAACCTGTGAGAGGCATTTACATGGACCAACGAGGAATTAGAATGATTCAGTTTTTCCTGTTTGTAGATTATATTGCTAGTCTATTTTGGTTATAGACCCATCCAAGCCAGTTGTTTATTGCTTTTGGTTTTGAATTCACATTTAAATTTTGTTTTGGCTTATGACTATTTAAAAATTCATTAGATTGTTTAAATTCCACATTTGCTGTATGTATATATTTGTGGGGAAAGTGGTAGAGGAATAACTTGTTGATATACCTTCATCTAAACTGACAGTTTAGAAAAATTAATTCTTAAAGTAGCATCAAAAGGGAAGCATCCAAAAACAATTCTGAATTTTGCTGTTGTGGCTTTTATACAAATGTTTGCATATGTATTTATATACAAAACCACCTACATCACTCCATATAGTACGATACTTTACAATTCATGAACTTTTTCACGGCATCTCATGTGAACATGACAACCCAGCGAGGTAAATATGAGATATTACAACCCAGTTAGGAGATGAAAAAATTAAGACTAAGATCAAGTAACAGGCCCAAGAAAACTCGAATAACTATAAGAAAATGCTAAGTATTAATTAGACCAAAATTCCCTCTTCTATAGGCAATTCTATCTCTGAAAAGTTAATAATTCTTGAGTTTCCAAAGGCAAAATAGTAGGAAAGTACCAGTCTAAAACTAAGTTCTACAACTTTCTAGTTATAGAAAATGGATAATTTACCTAACTTCTCAGAGCTCAGTTTTCTCACCTGGAAAATGGAAACCATATTACCTATCTTGCTGGGTTACTGTGAATAATAAATGCATTATGTAAGTAGCCTTCTAGGAAAGTATCTAGGCCATTGTAAATGCTTAACACATAGTTGCCACTACTTTCATTATTCTTTATCTTTTCTCTAGGCATTGGCTATCTTGGATGCTAACAAGGTTAAGTGAGTTATTAGTAAAAATTCTTTAAGTTCTAAAAGACTAATATAAGGTAAGCAAGCCATTTCTTTACCTGAAAAATATTAGGGTTTAAAAAAGTAGGTTACACTTTCCTACCTGTAGTTTCACAAAATCTTTGCACAATGTTAACAGGAAACATGTTTATTAAGGAAAGTACAACTTACCAAAAGCTTTGCTGCTTGAACTCGAACCACCCAGGAGCCATCACTGACCATGTGACAAATTTTTCCAAAAGCATCGTCAACCAAGCGGATTTCTTCATTAGAAGAAGGGATTGGGACAATGCTAAATTAAAACAAAAGGAACCACAAATGACAAAACATAAGCCTAAAGCCAAGGTTCAATAAACTGGGAATGACAAATGGGCACAAATAGAAATGGTACTTGAATAATTCAAACCCTAGAATAATGAAATACATTTCAGAGTTAACAAATTTCTCTGGGAATATTGAACTAATCTTTCAGTTGCACTGCAAATTTTCAGAGTCTTGAATAAAAGTGTATAACCCAACAAAGATTCAAAGATGTATGAAGAAATTAAAAACTAGCTAGAATATTTTATATCTTTAAGTTTATTCTCTCCTACCCTTGCATTGCTGTCAATATATCTCAGAATTAATCAATATAAAATGCACATCAGGTTCTTAAAAAAGAAGTCATTCTTGGCACATCTTAAAACAACTAGCAACAACAAATGTTGGCGAGGATGTGAAGAAAAAGGAACTCTCCTGCACTGCTGGTGGGAATGCAACTAGTACCACCACTATGGAAAACTGCTTGGAGGTTTCTCAAACTGCTAAAAATGGAGTTTCCATATAAACCAGCAATCCCACTCCTAGGTACCTACCCAAAAGACACAAAAACACTGATTCAAAAAGACACCTGCACCCCCATGTTTATTGCTGCTTTATTTACAGTAGAGAAGACATAGAATCAACCAAAATGCCCAAAAGTAGATGACTAGATTAAAAAGATGTGGTACGTATACACAAATGGAATATTATCAGCAATCAAAAAGATAAACTCATGCCTTTTGCAGCAACATGGATGGAGCTGGATAAGATCATGCTTAGTGAAATAAAGCCAGTAGAAAAGGAAAAATACCAGATGGTTTCACTCATAGCAGGAGTATAAAGGACCAGGACAGGGGGTGCGGGGGGAGTAATAATGCACAACTATATACCAGAGACATTTTACAGGGGTGGAGGGGAATGGGATCAAAAATGGGGGGCAGGGGAAGTACATGGGACTATGGTGATGGCAAGCGGGTGAACTTATGATGGGAAGCCCATGGGGATTACAACTGAGATGGAAAAGGCACAAAATGATATAAAAATAAACTATTATAATAAAAAAGAAGTCATTCTAGATTAGACTTGGTTTGTTTTTAGTGCCTAAAAGTTTATTATTCTGGTTTTTTAATTTCAGCAGGCAGTTTATGAAGATGAAATAAACACACTATTTTCCTATAGAAGGAACTTAAATTCACTGTGAGAATAAACATTTTAATTACTATGAAAATATTTTAACCATGAAAATAATACATAATATAGGAAAATAATTACATTCAGTAATCTCAAAGTCATTCACCTGATATCTTTGTATTAATTAAACTGAACCCCAAATAGTTTTCATAAATAAAAAGGGAGTGAGGGACTAGAAAGTACTTGAGAAAGATAGTTCTATTTCTTCATTTGTAGATGAGGAGGTAAGACCCAGAGATGTAAGTGAACTATCTTTGCCAGGGTACAATGAAAGTTCACGGAAGAGCTGGAAAGCAAGGATCAGACATCATTTTCAGGGTCTTTGGTTTTCCTCTATTCCTCGCGGTCTTCCAAAGATCTCATCAACTTCTTTCTGGAGGTGGGCTTTTTGCATGGAGGAGAGAGAAAGGGCTTAGCTCCGAACAAAAGCTGGCTTACAGCCACACTGACCTTTCAGGATAGAGCTGACTGACAACCCAGATAAGCTGGACTGCAGCACTGCGCACTTGCTCATAGTCATCAGAGAGCAATTTACAGGCCTGCAAAACAAGGATTCCAAAAGTCTGTTAGTTCTGTCTCCTCCCAGATGATGCTCAAGCTGTTTTCAAAATGAAGATGGGCTGGCTGGAAAAGCATGCTAATCAAAACACTTATGGGTGGTTTTAACTTTTTGAACTTTTGTCCAACAAAGAATTCTTGGCCTCTCTCAACTGCGCTGGCTGTGTTCTGACTGTGCACCTTCCTACCACATGTTGAAAGCAGAACCACAGATTGACAGACAGCAAAAAGTTATCTAGAATAGCATCAACACTAGCAAAGTCTTCTGCAAGCTTATAGTGCTGCTCTCACAGATTTAAACACCAAAGCTGGGATTTTTGTCTATCTGTAAAATCAAAGTACAATTTTCTGATTGACCCAGCATTCTAAATAGATGAACAGTTTTAATGCTAAACTGCAGAAAGAAGCCAGAATTTTATTTTGGTCTGAAATGGACTATTCCTACTCCACCCACAGTTACAGCAACACCCTGGGTTTCCATAATACCCAGAAGTATTCCATTTCTGTGATTTTAAAATCCTACATTCCATGTTGTATCCACAACACACTACTACAACAGCTCTTCCATTTCTATGATTCCACTCATCACATTCCCACTTACCTACCTATGTGCTTAACCAGGGTTTCTCAATCCTGGCACCACTGACATTTTGGACGGAGTAATTCTTTGACTGAGAGGAGCTGTTCTGTGCACCAAGATGTTCAGCAGCCTCTCTAGATTCTATCCAGACAGCTGGAGCACTGCACCCTCTCCTCTTCCCCACAGTTGCAAACAGTCAAAAATATCTCCAGGAACTGTCAAATCATCCCGGCTGAGAGCGATGCTTTAATCGCTCTTTTTCTCTAAATGAAGCACCCTCTTGCTTTATACCCTTCTATTACATCCTGGCAGCACTATAAGCACATCATATACAATAGTTCCAGATTTCTGCTACAGCTCTAAGGACTTCTCCGCTCCTCACTGGAACTGCAGAGTGCTGGCAAAGACCAAACTCTCTAGGACACTGGTGATCGCAAACCTTATTACTACTGCTTGGAAATCATTTATTCCTGTTTCCATTCCCATTCCCCAAAGCAGCTTTCCTTAACCTTCTCCTCAGGATCCTGATCCTACTGATAGGTGCTAGGAATAGGGTAGGGGGTGGGTAGGACACTGTGTATGATATAGTAAGAAATCTGCACACACACAGCTTATAGCCTGTCTACACTGAGTGAATTTTCCATCCCAAGGACACATCTGGCGAAGCGTGAGTGCCAGTGCTATCTGAACACCAGATTCAGCACACTGGGATGCCCTTGAGGCCAGGTGTCTAGGAGATCAATAAGGCGCTCTGGGGCTGGACATCACAGGCTCCTGGCAGCAGTAAAGCCCCTTTTTGCTGAACAACTATCTTTGTTGAACTCATTATAGAAAGCCAGCTGGAAATGAAATGTTAAGATAGTTTCTTTAGGGTGTTAACCCCCATCTTCCAGATTGCCGGCTGTCTAATTAAAGTACATCTTAAAGATTCAGTTCCTAGCTCTACTTTATTGGCACTTGTTGGTGACAGGTGACCTGAGCTCCAGACTTCTGGCTGTGACTGCTTACTTGAGAAAATCAAGGTTTGCAGCATAAACTCTCTCCACTGTTTCATAAGTATACAAGTATTCTTCCATCCATTGTTTTCTCAATATTTGAGAAGAGTCTTTTCTAGTTCCTGTTCCTTCATTTCCTAACACAGACTTTCCCTTACCATCCCTACTAAATAGATCTTCTTTGTGATTCTCTATGACAGCAACCCATTTATTTATTTCACAGCACTACTCATATGCTGTAACTATGGGGGTTTATTTATTGGTTAGTCATCTGCCTTACCCACAAGAATATGAGGGTATAGATTTGAATATTCAGCATTGTACAATCAGTGTTAGGTACTCTCTGCTGGGTATATCAGCTCATGAATCTGATTTTCTGTCTTAGGAATTTACTCTACCATTTATCCCCCTTTGCCACTTCTATTAGTTAACTTCTCAAAACACTGGCACGCTCCCCTCAACAAATAAGCATATTTAAAACTACCTTTAAAATACAAGGAGCCTTCCTTTTATGTGATGTTCCCCTACTATCACCTTTGATCCTGCTTTCCAGTCATAACCAGTTTCTTTTAAAACAGTGGATAATCAGTTTTAAACTGTTTCACCTCAACTGATCATAATCTGTCATCTACCTCCATTACTCAATTAAAACTATTCTCTTTAGGGCCCTCCTTGGTGGTACAGTGGGTTAAAATGCACCACCGTGAAGCTGTCCACAACCTACAGAACAAGCTCGATCCGGGGCCACTGAGGTGACCCACACAGCACGGCAGACCTCTCCTGACCTGACCACTGCTCCCCTCAGCAGTATATTTCAGTGGATCTGCCTGTTCTGCCCCCCACTCTGTCTCTGGTGAATTCTCCCACCACCACCCCCACACCTCTGGCCTGCACCCCAGCTCTTGTATGAATAAATAAATTTTTTCTAAAAAAAATTCTAAAGTGTTGAACATTATCCAAAGTTGCATCCACATCTCTTCCATTCTGCTTACTTTCCCTGGGTATCCCTATTACCCCTAGATATTAGGAATTTAGCTCCAAATTTCCACCCCAGTTCTGATCTCTCCTGAGCTCCACATCTTCACAATTAATTGATATTTTCCTCATGGGTAAACCACTAACCTTTCAAACTCAACATAATTCAAACTACACTCATTATGGCACCTCACTCTACCTTATATCTAAAGTCCTCCACCACCACCTCATTCTCACTCCCTTGAGCCCTCATCTTGCTTGCCTAGTTAACCGACAGTCTAAAGTGACTAAGCAGTTGAATCATTAAGGCTTTGTCCTCTGATTCCAAGTTTCCTTTAATTATCTGGCTTCCTACAGTTTTCCTATAGGGAGAGGAGGTGCTATACCCACCAACACGATCGTTCTGAACTAATTCTCCTTTGTTTTGTAAACCAGGTTGATATATCAGCCACCTGAGTTTGGTTAATTACCATTTTCCTCTGTAAGATAAAGCCACTCTTGGGAGGCTAACAAAATCTGGCCCTTCAGCATGAATTTAGATTGCCTATCTTTATAGTCATTCAATTTTTCTACATGAGAAATACCACCTTTTAGGACATTTTGGTTAGGCAACTCCAGTGACACTACAACGTCATCGTACTTTGTTATTAACACTACAACAAAATCACGTGGTTTATCTTCATATGCTCCCGTGATTTTGGTCATGCTCCAGAAATTTTTTCCTTATTCTAAACTTTACAAGTCTCTTTGTGCACTTGGGTGCTCATATTGAGAAACTGAAATCTTCCCGAAAGTACACATGCACTGCTAGTGCTTTCAACTATATACCCCCATTTCTCTTCTTAGAATGTAGGTTTTGGATACAACTTCACATTTACCCCAATTAATTTGATAATTGTCAGCCAGCAGAAGCCTACTTTTTCAAATTCTAATTAGTTACAATCCTCCCAGTTTCATACCTTTCCTCCCCTTCCAAACAGTTAATTATTTAAAGTACCTGATTATAAATTGTTTGGTGTAATTTCAGGCCTCTTTCATGGAGCTGCAACTAGACAAAAAGACATAGTTTAGGTGTTTGGGGATAAAGATAAATATTTCTCTCTTTTATTTATTTTCTGTTTTATATGCTGGTTAATATTTTTGACAGTATAGAATTTTTTTAGTCAGGTGAGGTCACCATTGTTTTCCCACACAAAAACACCCATAATCTTCCACCACAGTCCAAGATTATATTTTCAATGTGTCTCCACAATTTCACATATTTTCTCCAATATACTTAATATTAAAATGGTTCCCTTTATGGGCCCTCCCTGGTGGTGCAACAGGTTAAAGCACAGCACTATGAAGCTATCTATCTATAGCCACTGAAGCATGAGTTTGATCCCCAGCTTGGGAGGTGACCCACATGGCCCAGTAGACCTCTCCTGCCTCCCTGCTACTCCCCTCAGCAGTGTATTTCAGTAGATCTTCTGGTTATATTCCCCACTCTATGACTGGTGAATCCTCTCACCCCTTACACCTCTGGCCTTCACCCCAGTTCTTATATGAATAATAAATCTTAATAAATAAATAATAAATCTTCTTTAAAAAATAGTTCTATTGGGGCCCTCCCTGGTGGTGCAGCAGGTTAAAGCACAGCACTAAGAAGCTAAAGCCACTTCTGCATGAGTTCGATTCCCGCCTGCCCCGGAGGAAACCACATGGCGTGGCAGACCTCTCCTGACCCACCCGCTGCTCCCCTCAGCAGTGTACTTCGTTGATCTGCCTGTTCTGCTCCCCACTGTCTCTAGTGAATCCTCTCACCCTCCGCATATTTGGCTTGTACCCCAGTTCTATATGAATAAATATTTAAAAAAAAATAGTTCTATTTAGTCAAAACCATGTTATATAAACAAGAAACTTGGTTAAAGAACTCAAACACTTAATAAATCCAACCTATAGGATTTTCCAAAGGAATATTAGAAAAACATGAAATAATGAGGATGAAAAAGAAGTAACTGGAAAGCACTCCCTCTTCCCCGGTAACATTTACATGTATTTCTGGAACTTAGAAAGTACAACCTGTACCTACTGCAATACCACACCACGTCACTTTTCCCTCCCAGGAATCAGAAGGCACTTTCCAAGTTTCAGAAATATAGAGGAAAACTATCAGAAGTCGAAAGAAAAACAGAATTATTAAACAAGAATCTGTGCCTTTGAGTTCTATGAGGCCACTAATACCTTCCTATGGATTCAGTGTATCCAAGGTAGCTTTAGCCATGAACTAAAATATAAAATAAAACAAACAAAACTGTCCCCATTTAGTTTACCATGGCTTTTATAGCTGCTGTTCTGACACGCGGGTCTTGATCACTGAAGTAATCCCCTATAATTTTCTGGACATCTCTGACAGCTAGGGTTTCTGCATCTTTTGTGACACTTTTTTCCAAAGAGCCAAGATTGCCAAGTAATTGCAGGCATTTATTTCTTACACCATGGGAGGTATCTGTCAGGTGCTATAAAAAGAAAAGAGAGTATAACAGGACATGACTGACATATCTTAAAAATAACAAGAAACAAAAGCACTTTATCAACTTTAGGTCGATTTCAAATACTACATTAGCACAGTCAGCCAAGCATCATGTTACTTGTGTATGTATCTTCCAAAAAGAATCATGAGTCCTTAGAAAATGGAATTCCTCAGCAAGCCCTTTGCTTTGTGAAGAATAGATACTTTCAAAATGATCCCTAAATGCATCTTACTTGCTAAGAAATTAAAATATAAGACCAAATTTATAAAAAAAAAAAAGTTTGGCCCTCCCTGGTGGCGCAGCGGGTTAAAGCACAGCACTGAGAAACTAAAGCCACTTCCGCATGAGTTCGATTCCCGCCTGCCCCGGAGGTGACCACATGGCGAGGCAGACCTCTCCTGACCCGCCCGCTGCTCCCCTCAGCAGTGTACTTCGTCGATCTGCCTGTTCTGCTCCCCACTCTGTCTCTGGTGAATCCTCTCACCCTCCGCATCTCTGGCCTGTACCCCAGTTCTATACGAATAAATAATAAAAAAATCTTTAAAAAAAAAAAGTTTAACATCCATCAGCAATATGAAAAAAATCTTAAATGAACAATTAAATTTTTCACAAAGGAATACACATATACCAAACACGTATAAAGTAACAGAACATGACCATCACCCCAGAAATTCTTCTTGTGCCCCCTCCCAGTAACTACTATCTCACCATCAAAACTATGCACTATCTTGGCTTCAAACCTATAGATTTACTGAACCTACTTTGCATTTATAAAATCAAATAGTGTCTGACATCTTTTATCTAACTTCTTTTATCATTATGTTTGTGAAATTCATCTACAGTGATATATAGTAATGGCTCATGCCATCTATCTCATAGTTAATGTATAGCATTCTATTTGTGAATATAATAAATTAATCATTCTTGTTATCTAAAGATATATGGGGTATTTTCAGTTTTGGGCTATTCAGAACATTTCAAACAATTATTCTTGAATATGGCTTTTGGTACATACTCACATTAGTGCTGGATATATCTCAGGATTGGAATTGCTTAATTACATGGGATTTGTACAGTTTAAGAAGATACTGCCAAATAGATTTCCAAAACACTTGTACTAATTAAAAATTCCACCTGTGTTTCCTAAACGTTCCAGTTATGTCACATCTTTGACAATACTTAGTATTGTTAACATTTTCATTATAGATATCTCACCAGCATTAAAAAGAAATTGTCAGCTATCGTTCTCATACCAAGTTCAATGCTATAGAAATAAGTTGTCTGTAGTGAAAGGAACAGGAAATAGTAATAAACTTTAATGAAATGAAGTTGTACAGTAGATAACCATGTGGTGTGAAACAATCTTTTACCTTCTTAAATTGAAACTTTAGAGTATATAATATTCACTACTTTACAACATAGACTTCACATATGAAATATATATACCAAAAGTTTAACAATATCTACCCTTAAATCCTATGATATAGTCTGGCATTTGAATTATCTTTTGTTTTTTAAAAAACATCAACAAAAATGACTGCATTGCCTACCAATGGATCATGATACTCAGTTCAAAAGAGACTGTGTGAAAAAAAGTGAATGGAACTTGAAATTTGAAAGTCTAGATAGTTCACATATGTCCTTAGGGAAATGGAAAATTTCAGAAATAATATGAAATATGTGAGAAATATCCTGGGTAAGAAATATGGAGGAATATCCCAGGTAATCTTGACCAGAAAGCAAGGAAGATCTTGACAATTAGTGGAATCCGTACTGAATGGACAGGGGAACCAGTGTGTACGGAGTTTACATAATCAGCATTAACAAAACACCAAGAGGAAACAATCACATTGAGAAAACACAATACAAGACAAATGACCAATAAATCTATGGCATTTAAAGAAAAGAAAAAAATGAAAGGGGCAATGTTAACAGTAAAAGAAATGTAGGAGCTCTCCAAGAGGGGGGGGAATATGGCATCAGTAGAGGTTCCCAGTTGCATTCCAGGGAGAATAATAAAGTAGTAGGAGGCATTGGACTCAAAGGATCCTGTAGCCTGGGGTGAAACTACGCACTTCTGGGACATGGGAGACCAATATTGATCATACAGAACAGAAGACATGTTGAGGGAATTCAGCTCTAAACAAAAAGGGGGTGTCAAGCAGCATAGTCAGTTCAAACCCACATTCTGGAGACAGGCAGTAAGGAGAGTTGAGCTGCTTAATGTGAACCTAATCAAGGGGAGATATGGGCAAAAGTGCTGGGATAGTCAGGTGGCTAGGGCCCCCAGTGAAGAAGATAAAGCAAAAAAAGGCACAAATCTCTCCCCCAATTGCCCTTGGGGTACAAATTATTTGAAAATGATGAGAAGTTACACTTAAAAGCCATGTCTGAAGACTGCAAAGAAAGTATGAAACCCAGAGAGGAGGGTTATCAGTGGTCACAGAGGCATAAAATAATCCTCCACACCCCATTCATTAGCAACAGAACCCTCTGACCCTCTCCCACCCCCAGAAGAGACAGCTGCAGATTAGCTCTCCCTAATATACAGTGCCATCTACTGGAAAAATGGTTACTCAGCATCCATAAGACATTAAAAAAAACAACATAAAAAGTCAATAATGGAGAGATGGAAAAGCACAACAAAAGGCACATTGAGTGCTCACTCAGGGCAATATATCACCAGAGAAGAGATCTCCAAAAATCAACCAAAAAGACATGGAGGATCTTCTTGTCCTATCAGACACTGAGTATGAAGTTGCCATGATTAAAAAAGAGAGGAATGAAAGAAACACAGAAAAGCTGGTTGAAGACATACAAAAAAATTCAAAAAAATGAATGTCCTCAGAAATAAAATAATAAAAAAACTGAAAATGAAGTTTTAAGTAAGAAAATAACAGAGGTCCAGAATATAAAAAGATCAATAGAGCAGATATGAAATTCAAGATAAATTTATGGAAATAAAATAGACAAAATGGAAGACTGAATCAGTGGCCATGAAGACAGTAATGCACAGCTTGTACACCAGTTCTTATATGCATAAATAAATAAAATCTTTTTTTAACAAAAAAAGGAGAAAGAAAAAAGAAATGAAGAAACACATTAAAAATTACGTGACTCTATTAGGAAAAGAAACCAAAGAGTAATGGGCATTTCTAAAGGGGAAG